CACGTGGTGAGATGCTGAGAAAATGCGTCGCAAGAGTTGGCAGGAGATTAAACAGAGACGGGGGGCTTTTTGTTTTGAGTTCATTTTAAGGAAATGGATTTCACTCGTGGCAGATATTGCCTGCTGGCTATGATGCAATAAGCCAACTGATGTTTGCATTCCAAGATCTCTCTCTCTCTCTCTCTCTCTCTCAATTTGTCTCTCTGACTCCGTCTTCCAACTACACCGACAAGGAGCTAGGGAGATCCAATTAAAACCTGTGCTAACGCCATATTCGGTTGGAATTAACACTTAAACTTTGAGAGAAAATCACACGCCTTAATTATCCTTATTCTAACACGTGATTAAAAACTTAAAAATCTGGAGATTTGGGGGAATTTTGGTTGACCAAAATTCCAGTTTTGGATCAGTTTGTGCCACAATTGAGTTTTTGAAAAAGCGGGGAGGGGATGAAATTAAAGTCAAAATGCCACAACATAAACATTAATAATTGGATTTAACTATTGTATATACTAGCCAGTTAACGCTACAGTATATCAATCTTCCATATGTCATTAACTTATCATATATATTGATTGCCTGCATGTGTATAATACCTGAATCTGAAAAAAAGCTGTCAATTTAATTAAGTGTGATATATAGTACGACACAACACAGGTAGAATTATAAAGAAAAATGCAAGAACATCAATAATACACTTAAGTATGTTATATTTGCATTTCACTTGTGAATCCTGTCATGTATGCATTGTTTTACTGCAGATAGTTTAGTGCAGGAGAGGAAACCACAGAAGAGACAGCAGCTTTGTGAGAAAGATTGAGATACAGTCAGTTACTGTAATAGCGTTGTGCACTGCGATAATTCATCATCCTGCTTGTTTATTGGCCCCTTTGATTACCATATTATTATGCACTCTGGCTCCATTCAGTTTCATTTTGTGAAATTACATTATGCGAGTAAAGATGTCACAGGGCCAGCCATTTTTTTTTTCATTTTTCCAAATAATTGCTTTTAATACTGGGAAGATGATAAAACAAGTTTCTGTAATACAACCTCAAAAGGTCCATCCATCCATCCATCCATCCATTGTCAAACCGCTTATCCTGCACACAGGGTCGCGGGGGGGCTGGAGTCCATCCCAGCCAACTTCGGGCGATAACCTCAAAAGGTGTTCATGGTATTTCAATCCGGAGAGAAATTTTAACAATGCTTTATTATAACAGGCATAAATATTTATATTGCAAAGTTGTTTGGGGCTTGGACTCCATCCTGCCGTAGGATAGACCAGGGGCCGGGATGACGAGATGAGGCATGTCCCCCCCCTTTGGGTGTCCGGACACTGGTGGTGGTGGTGGTGGTGGTAGAGCATAAACTGCTCCAATCTCCTGATATGCCAAATTCTGCTGTAGATTGGAGGTGTCAGGGGTGGTGGCAGGTCGCCTTTGGAGCGTGCTGAAATGACAACTGACAGCAAAAGAGAGGAGAACAGTTTTTAACGTTTGCCTGCCCCAATGCGATTGGTTTAACGACACCCACGTCTGGTTGGCTGGTACTACCTGACCCCGCCTCTTATCAGCTGGGAGAGAGGAGGCCACCAGGGAGAGAGGAGGCCACCAGGGAACGGCACAGCCTGTCCAGTCTTCCTGACTGAATTTTTGCCTTCATATAAACCTTTAGCTGCATCTAAAAAAAAATCCCAGTTTGTCATTTTGTGTCTTGTTAGTCGTCCCCAACTTCCCTTTTCGACAAAAAAGCAGATTGAAATGCTCTTACTGTGCTCTTATTCCTTGGACAGAGATTCAGAGGTCTTATTGTCCCCTCTCTTAAAGCTCTGGATAATGATGACGCTTTAGCCACTTTTGAGCGGATGATAATAATGGATGGATGTGCTCCAGCCTTTTATGCCACGTTGCTACCTGAGGCCCCTTGTTTTATGTCAGTGTGTGTTAGTGTTTTACGTATTTCTATCATGTCTTCCACATCCTGTTTTTCACTTGGCTAGAAGACAACTTCTGCCCCTTGGAGACAGTAAAGTTCAAATGGGTCGGTGCTGTGAACTGACATTTGGCTTTGTGAGTAATGACAGATTTTAATTTCCCTCTGCCCCTCTTAACACACTGTTTGTCGCTCTCTCTTAAAAAAAATGTCAAGTTTGAGGTGGAGTGTATCTCTCTGGCTGCAGTATTAATAGCTCTGGGCTCTGGAGCGACACTCGCCATCGCTCTTGTGCTTTTGGATTGTTTGTGAAAGAGGAAAGCGACAGAAAGCACACGGTTTACTTTTTGCTCTCTACTGTTGTCCTTGAACATGTGACGCCTGCCCTCCATCAAAGTGATGCGTTTACTGGTGTGCGTGGGCTTGTGTTTCTGTTTGTTTGAGGGTGAGAATATCTGAACACATACTTTGTTTTATCTATCCCTTTGTCCGGAACGGACGTGATGCATTGGTTTACAAATGAGGTCAACTAACCTTCATAGTAAAAAAAGAAAAATGAGTGTGTCAGAAAACACCCAAACCGTAATCTCTCCGTGTCTGACTGGGTTTAGTGGTGCTCTTCCCTGCCTCCCTCTCCCGGGCTGGGATGAGAGAGAGAGAGAGAGAGAGAGAGCCTCCAGCGTGTGACGGGCTGTGGGCCGTGAGATCCTTGAAAAAAACTTGTTACAGATGGAGAAGCCCGTGCAGTAGGACGGGGGCGAAGCACAGACGTGTGTTGTGCTGAGTGTTCAGTCATTTATGTTCCTCTCTGACGTTCTCCTCGTCTTTGCTTCTCTCCTCCTCCCCAATTTCACACCTGTTTTTTCATTGTTTTTTTTTCTCCCCCTGTTGCTTTCCGCTCATCCCCTCGCTAACTTTTTCAATTTAATATTCTTTTCCCCTTTTTGCATTTCCCTCCAAAATACTGACAGACGCATTGATTGTTTGTAGACTCATACATTAGTTATACTGAACACATGATGATAATGTAACATACATGAGCCCTGTATATTTAAAATAAAAAATTCAGTTAAAAGTCAACTACAAAAAACTGCCATCATTTTTTTCATATTCGATACAGCCTCCCTTACAGTTTATTATACCCTTCAAATGGTTCAAATATCTGCACTTTTAGAACACAAGTTATTATTTTAAATGGATTGTGGTGCTGAAAATCTATACTGCTGAAAAAGGGGTGATTTGGAAAAGATTCTTGTTTGACTGTGTCCCTGTCAATAAATGAGTCCTTCCTTGTTTCAACGCAGCCTGATCTTGTAGGGTTATCAACTACTATAACTACTATAACTATAACTATAACTACTACTGTAACTACTTCACATTAAGTTTTGTAACTATAAATATTAACTGTGTTTGAAGTCCTTGTCAGTCTACAGTAACTAGACTCTAACTAGCGATCAGACAAGAACATCCATTTCAACATTTACATGATCCAAACTTAAAATCAGATCCTTTGATAACTTCATGCCAGTTCATGATCAAAAAGCAATAATTGCATTCATGAAGTAATTCTTTGAATGAGATTAGTTTCTTGGAGCGTGTATCCGTTATGTGGCCTCCGTGGTGACACATTGTCAGTTGGCAACTGCTGTTTGATATTGATCTCATTAATCAATTTCAAAGAAGCAAACTGAAAAAAATTACAATAAGAAAATGAAATGTCAATCTAAAACAAAAAGGGTTGCCTGTGTAAAAAAAGCTCCTCATCTTCTGTGTCATTTTTCAAAAGATAATCTATATGTTATCAATATCTGACATTGATGCCAGTTTTAGTGGTGAAAAAAGCGTTGAGGAGCTCTGCATCTGCACCCGACCATCCTTCAAGCTGCTGTTGATTGCTCAATTAATAACAACCTACTCTGTGTTGCCATAATCTCCTACCGTTTCTATCCACTTTTCAGGCCAGAGGGTAGTGGTGCATATATAATAAACCCTGTAATCACCTTGTTTGTGGTGCCATTTTATATAATCCTCCTCCCGTCTCTTCCCCTCCCGGGGTCGAACGCGATGCTTCTGCGTCATCACACTGCTCCTGCCTCCCTAACATTAGATTTACGAATCCTAGAGGGAGTGGGATTAATGCAGTCCTACAATCCAAAGCTTGGATATTACTACGCAGTTTAAAAGATGTGGCTGCCTTCTAATCCCTGTATCCCAGGAACAAAATGTAATGATTTTAATGGTGACTAATGAAAAATAAACTCGACCACGCTCAGTGGCTCACGCCAAATACTCCTTCTCCTTGTGACGGCGTCATAAAACAAGAATTTGACCTACAAGTTACAGGTATGGGATTAATTTTTCCCAAAAGCCTTTTGAGTGCATTGGTGTGGCCCTGATACATGAGAGAGTAAAAGGTAACCAGAGTCATGGAGAGAAAGAGAGAGAGGGCTTATTTTATGATGTTCTTGGTTCAACATTCTCCTGAATATTAAGGTGATGGTGATTGTGGAACCTTGATCTAATTTATTCTTAATTTATGGCGAGAACATTTTGTACTTTGTTATCGCGCTCTTAAAAGGGCCCACAACTGAAGAATAATTGTATTATCGGTTGTCGTTGTGATTTATGTTGAAAAGCTGAAACTATTAGATCTAATAGTTTAGATAGTTTAGCAACTCTAGAGTTGCAGAATCCTTTTTCTGTTGAATGACTATTGAATAATGGATTCATTTCAGCACTCTTGTTGAGTGACGGCTGCTCAGGCCTCAGCCTTTCTACAACCCTTCACATGCCAAATCTATATTTCCTAAAATCAGAGAGTAATATTTGCTCCGGAGGGAAAAGTCAAATTTTTTAGACTCAATTAACTTGTGTGATATAAGATACTAGTATCAACCGCAACGGGACGAGTGTCCTGGGTGCTTCTTAAATATTTTTATTTAATTTATATACTTTATTGTGACCCCTGCACTTTATAAGCATTTACTTATGAATAACACACTATATTGTAGTTTTTTACATTTGTAACTGGTGTTATAAAAGTTCATGAATCATAGACAATATGATTTATAAAAGTTGTAATATTTTTATTCCGATTATATTTATTCATGATGTATTTATAAATACTTCATCGCTATTGAGCAAAAGATGAGACAAGTGGACCTTGAGTTATTTTTTCTAAGCTCAATGTGTTTTTATGAGTCCACACAAAAACTACATTTTATTGATTGATTCATTAAAAACTTTAAGCAATTTTAAATGTGTGTGTATTCACATTTAATTGCAGTTGATTACATATGTGTTATTGTATGTATTTATTAACTGGTGCAGCTTCACAGGTGCCTCACAGGAGGAACTAGGGTTGTTGACATAATATAATAATAAACACATAAATATCCTCAACTCTGCATACACCACACAAATAAATTATTTAAAATTTGATTTTACATGCAGATCCAATGCCTATGCATTCTTACCTCTAAATTAACTATACTCCCACCATTGGTTAATTATTTGTAAAAGTTATAAATGTTTCCTGTAACATATATACAACTTGCTCAATTTCAGACATCTGCTTCGTGCCTAAATTGCCATTCTAGTCTGTCCGCGCTCACTTAGCCCATCCGCCACGTTGACTGACCCATTGTGCCTTAGAGGCCGCATTGCTCCCCATCTTGTGAGGAGTCCGGGCCTCAATGGTTCTTCCTCAACATTGTTTTCCTGTCAGTCTTCATCTTTTTGTATATTAGTGGATTTGTGTCTGGGATTTGGTTTGATTAACGAGAGAAGAAGTGATGAGTACGTGGCACATTATGATGTATTTGGAATGCTCGTACTAAATTTAGCAGTGATTTGCTGGATGTTAATGCAACCAGGCCGTCCGCTCCCTTGAGATTTCTTTTCTCAAGGTATTTTCTTACTCAATCTGTTTTTCAGTCTGCACACAGGGCACGTGAAAGGGGGATGGGAAGCGAGGGGCGAGACTGAGAACATATCAGAAATGTGATGCCAGCCTTCATTTTGGGAAATAAATTGCCCATCATCTTTTCTTTTGACTCCTGCTGGATTGATGGCAGAGGGGTTTTACACCATACTGATTTGCTGCAACGCATTAAACACACCATGCGGCCTACAGCCTGATCGCTCATCATCATCATCATCATGTGGCATGAAAGCAAATTGATAAGTTTATCACTGCTTCAACAACAACATCCAATGATTCATAACGATGTTATGATGATGAGTGGATCCCAAGTGATGGTGACTAACAGCACCTGATCGCTACTTAGCTCATTACCTTTTTAATTGTCTACACAAAGATGGACTCATATTTATTAATGACAAACTTCGATTGCTTTTATTGTTTCAGTGCTACAAAGCTCATGGTGTGGGACGGACACCCCGCGTGCCTCAGGATAGAATGCATGGAATCCGCACATGACACGTGTTGCATGGCATTATAGCGATGGCTGCTGTGGCATATAGAATACATACTGGGGCTACAACAATAAAAAAAACACGAGCTTGTACATTAAGAGCGACCGTTCCCGTCATGTCACATTTCGCCACCGGGTTTTGATCTTTTGATCTTTTTTTTTTTCCACGGTCGAACACACATTTGAAAAACCACAGTCCCTGAATGAAAAGTCTCGCTTCCCTCCCGCTCCAAAGTGTGCAAACATTTCGTGCTGTCAGCTCAGTCTCTCCACTTTTGAGTAAACACAAATAATTGTTTTCGTCGTGTGTGGTTTACGGTCTGTGGAATTTGCATCTTATAATCTTCTTGAAAGCACTTTGGAAATCTTTGTTGAAGTAGGCATATATGATGGGGTTGAGGAGAGAGTTGGAGTATCCCAGCCAGTTTATGACTGCCCCCAGCCAGTCGGGCATGTAGCAGCTTTCCGCGCAGAAAGGCAGCACGAGTGCGACGATAAAAAAGGGCAGCCAGCAGAAAATGAAAGTTCCCATGATGATACCCAGTGTTTTCACCGTCTTGCGTTCCCTCGCCATCGCGATTTTTCTCTTCGCCCCCGAGTTCTTGTCGTTCATGTGTTCATAGCCCTGCGAGGAGGATTGAGGGGTGTTGGGCAGAGGCAGGTGCGTTTTGGAGGTGCTGATAACTTCTATTATCTCAAGTGACTCGCCCTCCTCTCCGTGTTTCACCGCGCCGTTTACGCACGGAGAGCTGGGCTTCGACTCGTTGCAGCGCTTCCAGCCTTTCCCCCCGGCCTCCCCGTTGGTTTTCTTGTGGAAGACAGCCGGAGACACAGTCAAGCACTTCTCGGAACCTATTGATTTATCGGGTTTCTTCACCGTCTTTCGAATCCGAAACCGAGCAGCCTTGAATATTCGCCCATACAAGACCAGCATAAGGATGAGAGGGATGTAAAAAGCCCCAAATGTGGAGTAGATGGTGTAGCCCGGGTCCTGGCTGATGATGCACGCGTCGGGGTTCGCCCTGTCTTCGGCACTTCTCCAGCCTAACATAGGCGGAATAGAGATGGAGAAACCAATTAGCCAAGTCACGCTTATCAAGATCGCAGCTCGCCTCGGTGTCCGTTTATTTACATAGTCGATCGGGTCTGTTATGGCCCAGAACCTGTCCAAGGCGATTGCGCACAGATGCAGGATGGATGATGTGCAGCACAGTACATCCAAAGAGATAAATATGTCACATATCTCCTGCCCCAGTGTCCACTTGTTCAAAACCTGGTAGAGGGCCGCCATTGGCAAAACCAGAACCGATACCATGAGGTCTGTCACGGCCAGAGATCCAATCAGATAGTTAGCCACATTCTGGAGAGATCTCTCCAGAGCGATGGCAGCCACAACGCACGCGTTGCCAAATATGGAGCAGAGGATGAGGGCCGCCAAGAGCAGAGAGGTGATAATCTGGTAACTCAGCTTTACATCTGGTGGAGACCCAGAGCCTGTGCCATTCTCACTCCCGTCCCAGTCGGTAACCACGTCCACCCCGTCAGGGTAACCGCTGGTCGCGTTGCTGGCGTTGCCTCTTGCAGTTATAAAATCCATAATGCGACCACACTGCGAGCGCAACTTTCCCAGAGCAGTCGGGAGACGCGCAACTGGTCAGATAAGCTGGACCCGATCAGCCCCTCACACTGCTGCAGCTGTGCGTTTTGCCGGGGTCCATCGGAGTTACCGCGTTCGTGCCGTCGGTCCCAGGACGCATGACGCAGAGGTGTTGTGAGTCTGTGCGCGCGTGTGTGTAAGGAGGGTTCTGGGAGCTGTAGCCCACGAGTGTTGACAGCTGGGTGCGCTCACGGGTACTGCGAATCATCTGAGCTCGGTGACGCCGTGAATTCATTTATACCAGCAGCTTTGGATACGTCAGACTGTGTGGAGGTCGCCCTGGAGTTTTGTGCCTCTGCTCGTCTTGTTGCTCCGTTTTTCAGCGCAGACAGCCGACGAGGGCGCAGAGCCCTCCTTTCTTTTCCATCTCCTTTGTTTTATTCTTTGGACTCGCTAATTGTAACATTTTGTGGATTTGTTTTAGTTTATATCTCAAATGCTTGGTGCAAGTCAGGACTCAAATGTAATTAGTTATTACAAAAATAGCATGATAGCAACATGCATCATGGCAGCAGAATACTCGAACTGAGAAAATGGCTTAATTTGTTTCTTCTTAACTTTTCGTTTGAACTAACCTGATGACGGTTTATTTTTATAAGCAAAACTCAAAGAGAAACCCAGTAAGTTTACAATATATGTCGGGGCGCAAACACGCATTTCGGGGCGGGATGAAAGGTAAGGCAGCATTGGAAGGCAGAGTTGGAAGCGAGATGTAGTTTCAGGACCAAGGACAGCGCCACTGAGAGGCCCGCTGCTGCCATCTGCTGTTCATAGCCGGTACTGCATCAGACGACGGCCACCGTTGCACCAGTATGTTACGTTTAGTGCAAAGTTAGATGCTGAAGGAAAGGGTAAGGAAACAGCAAAAGGGTAATTCAAGCAATTCTAAGGGAACCGTTTGTGTGCGTGAGAGAGAGAGAGAGAGAGAGAGAGAGAGAGAGAGAGAGAGAGAGAGAAACCGCCTTGAACAAAAAAAACGCAGGTGAGAGCAGACAAATACTCACTTGGCTAGGAGGGAGCGGTATGCAGGGATTATAGCGGCATCGCTTTGACAAAAAATTAAGTTAAAACTTGAAGAAAATGGAATGAAAACATTTGCATAATTAAAGAATAACCATGTAGACTGTAAATTTGAAGGACAAAGCATAACAGTTTATGCTAACAGTGGAGTCAACGCGCTGTGGCATTCTGCTCTGCGTGCTCGTTGAACTTGACTGACTCTTCTGACTGCCTTGAGTGTCAAAATGAAAATCCGAACAAAACTACCTCAGGGCCTTTCGCCTTTTTTATACAACAACATTTTCACTTGATGTTTAGTCACAGTCACACATGGATGAGTTTCATCAGAGGGCAGAAGTTTGACAATTTTGCCTGAGTGTGCAATGTGGGCAAGTTAAATCCTGATGCCAGCGGCACTTAATATTCAAAGTGGATTCACTCATTAATTTAGCTCATGAAATACAAGAACACGGCTCAGTCCTATACACTCCCTCCGCATGTATGACGATCCGCATGTGTGGGGGAGAAGAATCATCAAAAAATCCAGTGTTCATTTTGAGAAGTATAACTGTAAAAACACATCAGGGTGAACTTGACCTTATTGAATCTAAAGACAGAGACCAGACATGAGCAGAAAAAGGGGGTTTGGGAGGAAAAAGAGACGGGAAGGTTACAGTCAGGCCAGTTGTTAAAAGCAGATCATGTCCTTTACGTAAAGAAGACGGCTTCACAGACTGCAACACAACATCAAACAGAAGGCTGATTATTCAGATTCTGTTGAAGTTGTATTTTCTTTCTGCATATAGTCCTTCTTTTGGGGGAAGAAATAGAAACAGAAACCACACGTCAAACATGAACGTGTACAGTTCAACAAAAAGATGATCAGAAGACATCTTTGAGTCAAAAACAAGGATAAAGGGATAAAAACCTAGTTCAGTTGAGACCGCCTGTCATAAATCCTTTATAGTGTCGGGGATCTGTTTGTGTCTTTACTGCCCTGTCTGTCTACTGTATCAAGAACATTGGCGCATTTTAGTGTTTCGACAGTCTTCGCGTACTTACTTGCGTTTCTTTCAGCCTTCTGTTTCTTGACAGCCAGGTGGATTGTGATGTGGTGACAGATTTGTCAGTCACGTGTGAGTTTAGCGTTTTGGCTGCCTCATTGACGGCTGTGTTGGTGGAGAAACAGAAGGCAGTGTGGCAGGTTTCATTCTTGTCCGACTTGATGGCAAGTAAGAAGGTTGATTCTGTCTCTGTGGTCCAGTGTTGCCATTCCTAAAACACATGAACAAAATCCTTTTACCTGTGCTTGTGAGTGCATGCATTTCAGTTCATTAGCGATTGAATTTTTCTCCTAAATACAATTTTGTTTTTTCTGTAGTTATAACAATGTATTTAAACCCTTCACAAAAGCTGCTTCTTTGTCTTATGAAGAATCTCTTCCTAAAGCAACCTTGTGCAGTAAATCCGCCTTTGTACAAGTTATCTTGCCTTCTCATGCTGTCATCATTTAGGTTTTCTTAGGGTCTGGAAGAAACCAAAATCAGACACACAAAAAGCCCACACTCGTTCTGTGTTCTGTTTGTGAAGCCTGGAGTGAAAAATAGCTGACACCATAGTGGTTGTGAGAAAAGAAAAGGTGGCTCTGGTTTTTTCACCTTACTTTTTGTGCATTCAGTGGTTGTGTTGCGGTGTGTTTTCTATAGGTCCCAGGCACAATAGTGAGGCCGTGAACAGCGCACCTATTGTGATGAGGCTCGCCAGGGGGGACTTTGTCTTTGCCAACAGTGTGGAATGTCCCAGCGGAATAACAGAGGGAGGGGACGGCGGGTCATGGGGCCGCAGTGCTCACCTCTACACTGGACCAGTCCCTCTAGCACCAACAGAAAAAAAGGAGCTGGAAGCTATAGACCCTGAAGGAGTGGGAGGCGTAGAGATCTTATGGGGGCGGGGGGGTGCTCGAAAGCGCCATGATGAGCACCCCTGTGAGATCTTCTGGTGTGAATGTCTCAGGACAAGTTGGAGGTTATGGAAGCGAGGATGCCGTCGAAGACAACGGCAGCAACAGGACTTACACCCAGTGTGAAGGAGCAGCGGGACCCAGGCCGAGCAGCGCGGATCCAGCTGGTCGGGGAAGGTCGAGCAGCGTGGAGCAGCTGTTGAGACCTGCCCTGCCAGGCAGGAAAGCACACGGGAAGACCTGCAGCAAGGACAGCGGAGGAAGATGGAAAGAGGGAAACCAAGACAGGGATGAGGAGACACAACATTTTGAAAACGCAGGAGGCAGCGGAAGAGGAAAACAACGACGGAGAAAGGCTGAAAGAACTGGAACACGGGGAGATGGAGACCGGGACAGACAGGGAACAGGAAGCGCTGAAAGCTCGTCCAGTAGTAACTCTGACATCCTGTCAACCACACTGTGGAAGTTGGAGACGGATCCACCAACTTTCAGCGAGGAGTCACACGTCACAGACTTCCATCCACTGGCTGTACTCAGACCGTCAGCACTAATTTAAACCCCCAATCCCCTCGGCCAGCAATGAGATCAATTTCTTCCAATCAGCCTCCCAACCCAAACCAGGTCCACACCTCTGTACCCTCAGAGACTTTCATCCAGCACAGCGGCAGGAAACCTGCACCGCCGCTCATTGAGTTCCTACAGAGAGGAAGATCCGATCTGGATGGAGGCCAGAAGAGGCGCGGCCACCGCAGGATCATCACAAAGTCCTCAGACACACATTCTGTCTCTCGTAGGCTCGGAGTTGAGAGAAGAGGAAGAGCAGGGGGGAGAGGAAGTGGAGGGAGAAGAAGAGGGCGACTTGGAAGATGGCGAGGAGCTTGGCAGTGGCGTGATGGGGGTAATGGGTCAGACCGTATCCTCAGCATTGGTGCTGCCTGGTGTTCCTTTTGTGGACCGAAGGATGAGTAAAAGAGAGAAGAACAGGATTAAGTATCTGAGGCGGAGGCAGAGGAGAAGGGAGAGGTGGAGACAAAGTCAACTGCAGGAGAGCAGACAGGTGAATGACACAATAACCTGAGAGTCATGTCAATGGGGATCAAGTCAATGTTCTTTTCCCATATGATTGGTCAGTAATTTTAGGTTTAGAATGAAATTATTTATATATTTGTGTGTTGCAGTAAATAAAAACAGGGCTTGTGATGAAATCATGGAATGATTTATTCTCACCTTCCCGTTTTCCAATCAATGTTAATACAATGCAAATAAGTCACTAACTATAAAAGTAATGTTTTATTTCCGCGTGCAAATGTCACTGCCGCTGAATGACAAATCCTTTTGATGCTGTCATCGTGTGCAGTCTTTTGCATTAGCAGGATACTTGAGAAAACCACACGATACTCTTGAAGTCCAGGCCCCCCATCCTTAAATTACCTAACTGATCCACTTAAAGGCCCATTTAAGAAGATATCAAATAAGAGTTGTGTGTATTTGTGTGTGTATGTGGTTCAATATAATGGAAAATCAGACTAAAATATGTCTGCTTGTATTTATTTATGTCGGTTTTTGTGGTTGGCCAGGCGTGTATTTTTGTGCGTGTGTATGTGTGTGTTCATTTCATCTACAGTCTAACAGTCGACAGATCTATCAGCGCCCAGTTTATCTCAAAAGCCATTGTCTATGCGGTTTAAAGTGGGGTTATATCTGAATTAGTTGCATGATGAGGCTTGGATGGAGAGCCCTTCAAAAGCAACCAGACAAAAGAGCAGATACAGGTTTGATTGGCTGCTGCACATCTGCTGTTGGTGGATTGAAATTATTCAACTGCTGAATAAGAGAAAGTAAAATAGAATGAGTCGCTTTGAAACAGACAATGTCAATTTTCTAATTCAAGGCCTCCCTGCTTACTGTACTATTTTTGGGTGAGATATTCCTCTCGCCCTCACACTGGAGCTGGTGTGCTACTGTATTCATGATGTAGATACTTAATACCCATAATATCTGGCTCTAACTGATACAATTGTGTTCAGTATAATGTGGACAATTATTTCTATGGGAAGGCACATGAGGAAAATTCATGAAATCTTTATCTTTCCCAATTTGCCCAACAGTTACGTATCACGAGCCAAATGTTGTAAGCTGAAATTTCTTACTGTCAGTCAGCTGAGAAGCTTGATACCAATCACATGTCTGACAGTGGTATTGTTCCTCTCACCTAACACTCAGGGAAAAAGAAAGTAACCGTATTTGTCCCACCTTTAATCTTTAATTTAGTATAGGAAAATGAAATAAACTTACTCAGACATTTATCATATGCATGCTCTTTTCTCTAGTTGTATCTATTTTTGCACCTTCCTCATTTTCACATGGGAGCTGAATACAGTGCATGTGCACAATATTGTGACTATTAGTCGTAGTTATAGATATTACATTTTTTGGTAACGGCAGCTAAACAATGGTTTTTGTCATTCACCCTTTCATGTTTTTATTTGCATATGTAAATTTGGGAGAACATTTTTTGGTGGAAAGGGTTGTCTTGACTCGCCTCTTTAACAAGTATGTAAATATTTCTGAGTACAATGTCCTGCTGACATATTTGCGTGTAGGGTAACAGGTGACAATAAAATGTGTTATTGTCATCCAGTTCCTAGTTCCTGGAACTGGATGACAATAACATAATGTTGTCAACCAGTTCCATACAGAAAGTGGATTCATCCTGCGTGAAGGGGAAACTATTGGTGCAGAATTGCTTAGTTACTCTATCCAGCTGCTGCACTGAAGCTAAAATGTGGTTTTAGTTGCTGGCTGCAGTTCTGCAGAGACGTTTATTTGTTAAAAAACAATAGTTTACACAAATCACATTTGTTTGAGTTCAGGGTTGCAGTAGGTATCTTAGAAGTCAAGATGGTAAACAGCCCAACGTTCGTTTAAGTTCCTTTTGGTAAAGAATTGTATTTATCTTTTCACACATTTAAAATGTAATCAAGTCAAAGGTGCCATGATAAAGTGCATGTTGCCAGGGGAGAGCATCAGTGGGCCTACCCATGACTCCTTGGGGGATGAGCACTGTGTGTTCTCTACTCTGTGTTAATGACACACCTTGGGAAACAGGACTGGTGCAACATGGAAGTCCAAGGAGCTCCCCCTGGGAGAGAAAGTGGTAATTACTCGGTGTGTAGTCCCCCACCTCCCAGTGCCCTTTTTTCTAAGACACATGCTTCCAACAGCAATCCACCAGGTCTGCAGACAGTCTGAGGAGGAGATGGGAGACTTTTGGGGCCTCGGATACTCTAGCAAATCTTACTCTCGAATCTTAATCTTACTCTCACATGAGTTGTAGCCAGAATTTGGAAATGTTCAGTGGGGGTTTAGGTGCCGATGCACTTGGAAATGTGGGCCAGTCGACTGCTGTGGAGATGAGAGAGATACAGGCAGGGTTGGGGAAGCACATCAGTGGTGCGGTATGAAATAAAACAAAGTAGAATTAAACAGTATACTAAAAAACGGCAGTAGCTTAAACAGTTATTTTAAATCTTAGAAATTGTGTATTATGGACAAAACTTTGTGATGAGTTGCAACACCTCTGTTTTCTGTGGAGTAAATGGAGTTGGAATTAGGGTCAGCTTAAGGGTCAAATAGCTCTCTTTAGCGAACGACGTTTGAGCTTTACAGTAAGATGTGAGAAGACGTAGGTAGACGTTTCACTCTGCTCAGCTCACACCTCACACCCACCTTTCCTCACATATTACTACGCTGTGCAGGTGGGTGTCAAAGACATTTGCACCCAATCAAATAGGGTGTAAGAAGAACAGAAGAAAGTATTTTATACACAATCTCAAGAGAAACATGAATAAGGACATTCTCACTTGTTTTTATTGCCAGCTGGTACAATGACATGTGAATGATAATGATAGTATATGCAGAATGAGAGGAGACTTATTCCCTATGAACGCGACACTGAAGCAATTCGTTCGGCACCGTGATTTTAGAGATGAACAATGCAATATTATTTTTTAAATATTCAGAAAAGTATTTCCATCCCTCCATTATATCCAGTGCCAGGTCTTTGGAATAGCAGGGTTGTCAGCATAGGTTAGCCATCCCTCTTCTCAGCACATTTTCCAGCTCTTGGTGGGGAGCCAGAGGTGTTCTCAGGACATACGAGTTTGATCCTCTTTCCAGCGTGCTCCACGCCAACCGAGCCCGGAGGACGCCGTCCTTTTCCACCAGTTGGCTCTTGACGCCGCTGACCACCACTCCTGGCAGCCCGCTGGTTCAAAGGAGGTTTTGAACATAACCCAATTGGATTCCGTGTCCCCAGCCTCCCCCGGGATACGGGAATATCGTTTCAGACCAGGGAGTTGTGGGGCAGTGGCCCCAGTCGCCAGTTCACCCGCGGTACACTTTTTGGTCTACACGTTGTGTCCAATAGAAAAACACCACTGGTGATTAGATCAGCTCATTCTTCCCCAATGACTCCCCTTCTTCATGTGGGGTTTGAAGTCCCCCAGCAGAACCATAGTTCAGCCTCCTGTTTGATGATGTGTTGCAGCTCAGAATCCCTCACAGTTACTCTGTTGCTTTATGGTGCTTATGCACAAAAGAAGACAAGAGATTTCCTCACAGCGACTCAAAGTCCCATGAAAGCGACATTCTCTTTACCCGGGACGAACTCCAACACAGCGTTCAGCTGGGGTCTTGTGAGTATTCCCATACCTGCTTGGGACCTCTCTCCCTGGAACACTCTAGAACAGGTCAGGTCTTCCAGGAGGGAAGGACTTCCGTCCTTGGTCAGACTGCAGAAGATGACTCCGTTTTTTGTTTTCCGAGCAAGGTGTTCTTTTTCTGGCTGTTTCACATTGGATTTCTCTTAATCTGAACCTACCAGGAGTTATTGTCCCTGACAACAGCTCCAAGGCTCCCTGAGGCAAATAAACCCCTCCACCACTTTAAGGTGTTGATTCATTGGAGGGTATAATCTCGTATCTCATAGGAATATTCTTTTTACAATAAATAGGATCGGAAATGTTTTGCACTAATCTGATTTGAATCAGAATAAAACTATAATAACGGATCTCTGCCTTACCTTCTCACCCAGAGCTCAACGGGGAACCCATCCAGCAGCAGCAGCAGCAGCAGCGAGGATGAGGACATGAGCGCCGGGGACAAAGAACGTTACATCTGCGCAGTGTGTTTGGATGTGTACTTCAGTCCTTACATGTGTCAACCCTGCAACCACATCTTCTGTGAACCCTGTTTAAGGACGCTGGCTAAGAACAGCCCCACCAACACCCCCTGCCCCCTCTGCAGAACAATCATCACTCATGTCTTCTTCCAGAAGGGTGAGCTAATAGGCAGAAAGCACCTGCCGTGCAATTCACATGATTGTAAATTATTATAACCTCTGTTCTCTGCTCGCAAGTCAAGATTGAATAATGTCAGATAGATAAAAAGTAAAATGTATAGTTAAGTATTAATATACACCACAATTATATTAATACGTTTGCCCATGTGTATATTTGCAGCTCTATGTGTATTTGTATGTGAGTTGACTGATGTACTGATGACATCTAAACTATAATTTGTTGAGAGGGCCCAGCTGCAAATACCCCATAGGGAGCAGAGTAGACCTTTAGTAGAGCCCCGACCAGATGAGTCACCCAGATCGAGAACGAGAAGACAAAGTCAACGATCTGAACGCTGTCGTTTAGTTCCTTCTTATGGAAATAAGAAATACAATTCCTTGCCGGCGAATAATGCATTTGGGCTGTGACGAGAAAAGAGGTTTTTATTAGGGTGGCAACAGTGGAAAATGAAACCCTTATTCCCTAATCATCACCCTTGTGATCACCGTATGCTGATTACACGGGACATAGTCAAGTTCACTGAGTCACTTTGGCCTACTTCTGGATGTATGCAGCAGAGAATGAGCGGCAGGGAAACTGCCGCGGCCATAAAAAGACAGAGTGGCTGCTGTTATGAGCACCGCAGACACACTGAGGGCTCTTGTGAGTGATTAGATGATGACAAGGATTGTAGATTTGATTCTTGTGTTGATTACGAAACCCAAGGTGACACAAAAACAGAACATGGAGAAAGCGATGTGGTCTGGTGATGCGGCATCTGCTGCTTTTGAGAATATATTGAACAAATCAAGCGTTGTCCATCCAGGCTGCCGTGAAGTGGCAGTGGGGATGAGATGTTCATGTTTGATCCGTTTTTGTTTGTCTCTGCGTCTTTCTTACAGAGCTAAACCAAACAGCGAGGACGTTCTTTCCAAAAGAATATCTTTCCCGGAGACAGAACTTCCAGAAAGCCAACTGTGCAAAGTGGCCTCTCCCAAGCTGCCGAAAAATATTCCGTATCTTTGGAGGCACGTTTTTAATTATCCTGCAATGCAAGATACATTCATCAGATTAGGCAAAGTAGCAGTAGGACTTGTTAAATGCTTTGTTAAATATATTGACAAGAGCTGTGACAGAGTAAATTATACCTTCTACCCAATCATTCTAAAAATACCTGAATGCTTCAATGGTACAAACATGACACTTTATAGCATAGAGAATACAGATTTAAGGCCTATCCACCCACGCAGGCAAATTCTTAATATACAACAATCTTATGCTAAGCAATGTTGCACCAGGTGTTTACCAGTTAAACTATGAGCAAATACTGATTGTATTATACTCATTAAAGTATTAAATGTGGAGTCAGCAATTCAGGAGGAAGATTGCTTGTATTTGAAGCCGATGCCCAAAACAATTAATGATAAAAAGAGATTTAACATCTCATTCGTTCTCCCTGCCTTTCTCTTTATACATCGACTGCATATCTTCGGTCCTGTGTACAAGTATAAATGTGCATAGGATAGAAAAGTGTTGTGTTGCCCGGTTTGAGCGTATAAATACCAGATTCTTTGAGCCCACGCACAAAATGTACCGCAAGTGGACCATGAGGAGATTATCTGAATTTGAAATTGTGTTTTCTGATATGAATTGCTGACTACACCTTTAAACAGTCCCACCTTATGAGACACCAGAGAAAAGGATTATTGGCATAAAGCAAAGAGGACTTAAATACAAGGCAGGTTTTTTAAATAAACTGAACAGATACAATTACAGACAGAAGAAAAGTTTATTACACTGCAGAAGTTGATTGAAACATTTAATTCTGCATTTTGTAAGATACTGCATCCATTAACCATCTGAGAGAAGTTTCACTATTTGACCAACAGAACCTTTTTAATTTTGGTCCAAAGACAGATTTGAATTTAGATCAGATATGTAGAAAGTATTTTGGGTTGAGCATCAGTACCACCAGATGAAATGCCCCGTTTGTCTCCCAAAGCAGGCTTCCAGAGGCAGTCTGGTCCCATTGTTAGACGCCAGCTCCCCCACGGAGGAGGCTACCAACTGGGCGATCTGGACTTTGAAGAGGACTCTCGAGGCTGGCGTTTTGACATGGACATGGTCATCATCTACATATACTCCGTCAACTGGGTTATCGGCTTCTTCATATTCTGCTTCCTTTGCTACCTCTTCTTCCCTTCTTTTTGACAGCCATGGCAACTATGATGGTGTAACATAGAAAGAGAAGAGGTTGAGGGTAAGACCAGAGTGAGGTAAGGAATTAGAGATGAGTCATCGGGCAGGAAAGTGACACATAAATATCTCAGAAGACAATGATTGATTTTTAAGCTAGTGGGATGACGACATAGAGGAAAATTAAGTGTTCCGGCTTGTTGTCTCTTATTAATAATTATATTGGGAAAATATTGTAGGAGGAGGTTTGGGAATTAATTGTTTTCTGTCTCCATTTGTTGCACACAAAATGCGTGTTCAACCACATGTCCTGTTCCTGTAAGGAGGGGAATTATAACATTGCAGTGATGCACTTTCAACAACACAAGTATTAAGAGAGTTACTCCTAGGCTGGAGGCATTCAATGACAAATTCTAGAAATATATGTTGCCCTATGTTAGTATGTCTTTCTATTGTGTGATTAATTTGCTGTTTTTCTATGAGAGATGACTTGTGGTGTTTCTGTTGTTCTCAATCATCCCTTAGAGGGAATGTTGATTGACTGGGCCACTGTATTTCAGCCAATAAAGTTGGCACAGTAGCACCTCCATATGGTGTCTCTATACAAAGTCGATTTGTACATTTTTAATTATTACAAATTTGGTAAGCAAACTTATGTGCTAATAAAAAGAAATCAAGCGGTCTTGTAGTTTGCTAGTTTGACAGCAAGAAAAGTTTGGGGCCTTGGTAACACAAGCGTACCTTCCGTTGTTTGTTCCTGGTACAGTTTTGCCATTGTAGGAAGCAAAACAGTCCTAAAGGGATGGGTACTCCTGGATAGATCGGACTCTCTCCCCTGCCATTGTTATGATGAGGGGTGCAAAGCCTCCAAAAATACCTTTGGGGAGAACATGGAGAAAGACTTTCAGCTGGCATCTGAAGAAGGCATAATGTAATATTCACTATTCTATTAATATTCAATATTCTATTAAAATGGTATGTGTTTTTTGGAGTAACATCCATTTAAGATGATTTAATTGTCTTTAATCATGAAAAAACAGAAGATGGGTCATATCTCTGCCAAAAGATCCAAATCCAACTCAAACAAATGATCAATGCAGAATCATTTTAAAAGACATACAATTATGCTGTACATTTCCCTCGTTTCCCTCCCCACCGGATGGGCCTCATTGTGTTTGAGTGGAGCTGTGGGTGTATGACACTTACATAGATGGATTTGAAAGTCTTCTCTGCTTTCATAATTAAATAATAATAATGATGTTTAGAAAGCACCCTCCCCATACACTGAAATGGACTCTTAATTTATTCAGAATGAACTTTGTGGTTGTGAAAAGCATGCTAGGGCAAATGGTCATCGCTGAAAGATGGATCCACATTTCTAGCTGCAAACTAAGAAATGTTATATATTCATATACTGTGGCTTATTGTGTCTTTGGTGTCACTATGATCCATGTGTGTATGTACATGAAAGAAGCATACTACCTATAATACCTATTGTGGTCATGCATTGCCTGACATTATTTAAATTATATGGATTGCAAGTAAGCTTTTTGTTGGTATTTAGGGGAAATAAAAGTGTGGGCTACAACCAAGTAACAGGATGTTGAAGCATTAGGTCTATTTTCATGTCCCTGTTTAACAAAGTGGCACTACACCAAAAAATGTCCCATTTCTATTGCTGGAGAGACATAGATAATGCAAAAACACGCAATAAAATAAACTTTTAATCCCATAACAATGGCCCTGCATATAAATATCATGATTATAGTACAGATGCATTATGCAGTGCATTTCAAGCTCGGTGTGCTGAAGTTTAAATTGACCCACATTTAGTCTTCGTTTGTCTATTGAATTACCTTAATTCTGTTTTACTTCCAAGTGGCCAGCAGTCTGATATATTCACACGTGTGTAGGAGCTTACGTACAATTCAGGGGCGGGGGGGGTGTTTCACCTGATGAGCCCAATTAGCATGCCCGTCCTTTGGGTGCGCAGTGTTGCCAGCCCCCCGAGCCGCGTCAGGCCTGCAGCAACTGCTCGTCTCCCATCCAAGGTTAGAGGGAGGCCCGCCCGGACAGATGGAGACACTCGAAGGGGACGCACTCTGGAAGCCGGTCGAGACCCGCAGCGGGGGATCAAGTTTGTCTTTTCTGTAACGTTGAGATTTCCCCGGGCACGTACGGGCTGTGCGATGTGACACTATCAGCGGCGCTGTGCCTCTATTAGAAGAAGAAATAACGTAATCGCTTCGGTTGAACCGCTGCTTAATGGAAACGCGCAGTCACGCACACGGTTGCATTTGGAGAATACCCCGTGAATGCGTTCGTCTTCCTCCGACAATCGGTGCGTCAGAGAAGACTCCTCGGCTGAGCCGGACTCCGGGTTGGGTGTGAAGTCCTCACTGCGTGCGCCGTGTGCTGCTGGAGTGAAGGTGACTTGCGCCCCCGACGCAGTCGAGGCAATGCGGAGAGGAGTCGCAGGCGCTCATCCGGTACTTTTTTTCGCACTCCACGGCTCGTCTGGGAAAATATTTGCTCCCTCTCCCGCAGTAGACGGGGAGGAACGTGAAAGATAGACAGAGCAAAGACAAATAATCGGGGTTTCAACCCAGCCGGCAGCTGTCTGAGGTGAATTGAACGTATGAGCGGAGGAGAGAAAAAGGTGAACGCTAAGGTGCAGGGTGGTGAGGCAGGAAGCGAGAAAGTGGTGGACTTGTGTGGGGGAAAGGACAGAACCGTTCTGTGTTAGGGCTGTTTTATTCGTGGATGTGTATGCATGAGTTCTGCATCGAATGGGCGCAAAAACCGCCCCAGATCAGCCGGGAACATCTTCCAGATCGGCAAGCCTCCCCACCGAGACCCGGAGAGGAGGGAGAGCACCGAAAGTGCCCGCAAAGCCCAGCGTGCCGTGGCCGACTGCAGAATGGTAGGTTTGCGACCCGTCGAAATCCGCATGGTTTTCTCTGATCAGGATGTTATTAGGACAAGCTTCCTTTGTTCTAAGGCGATTGACTATCCCGTGCACGCGCGATGCACAGGCGACAGCTGTTAATAGCTGCAAAAAAAAGATGAAGATTATTACCCGGTGGAGGAGCCTAAAAATAGATAGATGCATTTGCATTGCTTTGTTGACAGTGACGGCAAGCAGATCATCTAGGCATGCAGATCGATTCTGATTGCATTCTGAGCGTTAATGATTTGAGCTAATTTGAACATTTCCCAAATTAAAGGATTGTCGAGATGTTCGTGATTGTTACAGATTACGTTTGTATATGTATATTTGCAAACCCTTTCATACACCAGTTTTCGGAATGCAGCTGAGTGCAGCGGGATGTTATTCAGGAGTTGCACAAAATGAACGAAATATTTGTAACCCAATCTCAAGCTCTGATGCTGTGCAAACCAGCAGATGTAGCAAACGTCAATACGTTTTTTTTCACCATCACTTTTATTCAATAAAAGTTCACGCTTTGCTCGGCCACAAGTTTCTGTGAGATATTAATGGACTTTTGTGAACTCATATATGTGCAAGTTAGTATTTCTTTGAAACACGTACTGCAAGCAACATGCGTTGGCTCATTATTTGTGTTCGGTTTGGGGAGACAAAGAATACGAGGCTGGTGCTGATCGGCAGTCCTTCCTGTCGGACACGTTTTCATGTTGACAGATCTATAAAGGCCGGGCTCATTCCACGCAACGATCAGAACAGGAAGCATGAGCAAGCAAATGTGTTTTTTTCTTCTTGTCTTTGCATTTGTGCGGTGCTACTTGAAAACGTAATTTGGGGAATAACTTATTTTTGTGTGATTTCGCATTTCAACACAGATCGTCCAAGAATTCAATACGCTTGTCGCTCTGTACCGTGAGCTGGTCATCTCCATTGGGGAAATCACCGTGGACTGTCCTTCTTTGCGGGCCGAGATGCTGAAGACCCGAACTAAAGGCTGCGAAATGGCCAGAGCGGCGCACCACAGTCTCTCCTTGATATCGGGGTGAGTTGGCACAGGCGCTCTCCGTGGTTCTGAAAACAAGCGCCCTGCAAAGAGCTGTCCACGGTTCTGACTGTGCACCAAATTGGGCGCTCTGCAACATTGCTGCGCTAAAGTTCTATGGATTTTTCTTTTCTTTTTTCTTTTTAACCAAACTACATCTCTGATTTGCATAAGCATCCCCGTTTTAGGCACATGTATATTTAAGCCTGCTTCAACACTTCAAAGAAATTATCCATGTGTCTGCCTTATTAATATGAAAGGGTGGGGAGTTTGGGGAAAACAGAAAATAAGTTCAACTCAAAACTGAAAACAAGAAAAGCAAGTGATGCCTCTAATAACGTGCAGCAGCTTTACCAGGAATCAATCCCAACAACATGCTGTAACTGATCACTTCCCATTAGCTGGGGCCTAAGACGTTAATGCACAAAGTGGAGCGCTTCCCGGGACGAATATACGAGATAACAGTGATGTGAAACCAATGACTTTTGCTTCGCTTTTATTTTTAATGTATTGTGAGTGTTGGTGGGCATGTGTGTGCATGTGTGTTTTGTGTTTCTGTTATGTTCATTTGACCATTTAGATACCAGCATGCTTTTAGATGGATGTTGTTATTTTGTAGAGTTCAGGATATTATACTATATACAATAATAAAATATAATATAATACAAAAAACCCCGAATCATTGAATTCATCCTTCACAAAAAAGAAGACAGCCCTTTAGTAACAGGCAATGCAAAACACGGATCAGGGGATTTGAGGTCAAATTGCGGTTTACTTATGCAAGGAGTTTTGTTGAACAGAAGAAGCTTGACGTGTCCGTTGAATTGGGCTGCCTGCTCCATTGAGCACAACATCTAATCCACGTTGGTGCCAGTGGAGGAAGGGCAAAGGGACGCTTGGGATTTGAAGGTCCTCAGTGATGCTAAGATGCCAGTTGACTTGGCAACCTCACACTTACTTAAAGAACAATTGGACAGACTGAAGCCAGTAGTGGGAGAGATGTGGAAAAAACACTCTGCAGTGTTATCTGCTTGCCAGCACTAGGTTTGCTCCAGCCATCTTCCTCCGATATACACATTTGTTGGAGACCCGCAAAATCATTCAATGATCTCCATTAAAAATAAGTGTGCCACATTTGTTCATGGCACGAGTTTAAGTGTGTTAGGCTGAACTCTGCTCTGTAGCCCATTTACCCGCTCAATAATTAATCCACTTGCTATATCTTACAGCTGTTTAAGAATGCACATCATATATCTGTTACATGCGTGTCAAAATCTTTCCATTTAATGTGCGTGACACACTCATATGGTTAGCCAGTAAGGACGGTTACTGCATGTTTTCCATCACAAGGAGGCAGGAATCATACAGCTTCCATTGTACAGGGACATCTCGGGTGCGTTTTCATAACAATGCTTTAATAACCTCTCTCAAATAATCCGAGAAACAGTAGTTTACGGTGCTGAGCCTATATGGTCTGTATTTTTTTTTCTGCCAATATACGGCTCCTAATTAAACAGCTAGATACAGTTATACCTCCGAGCCAACGTGTACTATCAATTATTGTCCTGTGCCTGAATTTTCAGCTGCTGCTTTGGAAAAGAGCCAGTGTGGCAGCTTCAGAGAGAACTTTAAGTTTCCACAGAGCATCAACGTCATTCTCATAGGACTCTAAACCTCCTTCTCTTTAAAAGTTCTCTGGGCCATTTTAACTGGGCCATCTACTAGACACATGGCTTGAATTAGACGGAACAGATCATTCCCCTTTAATCAAATAAAGCTGGTGTGGCTCAATGGTTTGAGTGATGCGGGGCCTCTCCGACGCGCGAGAGGAAAGCTGATAAGCCGGAGAGCGTTGATGACAGCTCTCCTTCGGCAACAGTCCTGTAGAAGTAAGCGCTGTGACCAAACAAGGATGGGAAGGAGAAGCTCGCTGCTGAAAGAGGGGAATGCAACAGCATGATTTGTGTGAAAAATATTTGCACCAGGTGCAAGTTTCACGCCTTCCATTGCCGTCACTTTCCCCAGTGATATCACACCCGCTGGATATCACATGCTGTGGTTCCCCCCTTGAACACCAGATTACGGTCTGGAAGCAACTGTGGTGTCTTTTAAAAGCTCGTCACCAGCAGAAGAAAATACACAGACAGGGGTTTTATGTTTGAACTTCCCCACTTCATTTTATTTACGAATTTTCAGTTGATTAAATAAATATGGAAACAAAATAAGCCAAAATCAGCCAGTTTGACCTTGTCTGCTGTTGGTCTAAATAAACAAGCAGCTCTTGTTTTTAAATCCCTAAATGTTAAAACCCAGCATATCTCTCATCTCAGGGTTTAAATTGGGAAAACTCTTATTGAGTTTTTGATATTAGTAACTCTTCATTTTTGTTAAGATGTTTTAAAAACACTATGCACAATGCCAATCCAATCCATCATATAGTATTTAAGGAATAATTAAGTTTGGTGACTCTTTACTATTAGCCATAATACTACCTGAATCAGGCAATATCTCTATTTTTTATGCCGTTTGTATTGATCAAAGGAACTGACATACATGTCAAGTAACAAAGCTCGACAAGTTTAAACTCATCCACCAACTTTTGTTTAACTTTATACAGAGACATGAACCTTATGTGCAATGGAACTATGCTTTTATTTGTTTCTATAAGTTGTATCCAGAGTTCATGGAGTTCCAGCCATCCAGTAAAGCTCTCTGTGCTCTAACCATTTGTCATTGCAGGCCAGAGGATGGGGAGATCCATCCTGAGATCTGTAGGCTCTTTATCCAGCTGCAGTGCTGTCTGGAGATGTACATCACTGAGATGCTCAAATCTGTCTGCTTGCTGGGCTCCCTGCAGCTTCACAGGAAAGGTTAATACATGAACAGCCTCATGGCGTAGCTTAGGTTTGATAGTTGTTATTCAGAATATCATCTAAAACGTTAGCAACATTCTTTGAATACTAACAGCAGCCTAATCAACACACCTGGATATATACAATAAGTAATTTTTGTACATGTTTTGAAGAAATCAAGTGATTGGACAGGTCATTTTATGTTCTTCATCTTTGTTTCCCCAATGTTTAATGTAGTGGTGACACATGTTTAGGCTCGCTGCTCTCTGTATGCTTTAGGTAAGGACTCCTGCGGCCCTACCGGAGTCCAAAATAAGACAGAGGAGAGTTGTGACATCCCCATCCTAGAGGACACCTCCTCTACCCCCACTGACTGTCCTCATCTCTCCTGGCTGGTGGCAACTGACATAGATAACATAGAAATGTAAGTGTATCCTGTCTTATTTTCTATGTATTTATTGATGTGTGGATACTAAAGTGTTCATCATTGTAGTACATACGTAAAGAAATATTTATATCTATATATATAAATATGTAGTTTTTGAAAATTAACAGATGTTTTTATGCAATGCCATCTCATGTAATGTAGAATCTGTTGTTGACATTCAGAATTTCAACATTTCATCATGGCACAGAATCCCGAAATATAAAGTGCAACGAGTCTGCAAACTACTTGAAAATACCTCACATATTGAGGTGGCATATGGATTAATACATTTTATTATGCCACAACAAAATATTTAAGATGTATTTTTAGATAACTGCAAAAAATGGGGCAGGTGAGCATTTTTTGAAGTTGTATGTGTGTGTGTGTGTGTGTGTGTGTGTGTGTGTGTGTGTGTGTGTGTGTGTGTGTGTGTGTGTGTGTGTGTGCGGAAATACACCACATGAAAGACGTCCTACATCTAAGACTATATTTGTGTTATTGCAGGGATATGAGGGAGATGAAGAATCTTCTCAGTAAACTCAGGGAGACGATGCCTTTACCATTGAAGAACCAAGGTAAGATAGAAAGCCAGTGTCTAGTGAGCTTCGACCCATTTTACATCCCTGCACACACCTCATGCTCTGCTGTGTGTTGTTGTGCCCAGATGACAGCAGTTTGCTGAACCTGACTCCCTACCCACTGGTCCGACAGAGGAAGAGGCGGTTCTTTGGGCTCTGTTGCCTGGTAACCAGCTGAGGGCCCCGCCTTCGTGGGTAGGAGGCGGCAACAAAGACACCATTACCCACTGTCCTTCACCACTCGTGTCTCCCACCAATCTATTACTGCCATTTTCAAATGAATTGTCTTTCTCTTTTTTTTTAAAGGCTGCCCATTTTATAATTTTATTTTGTAATACAAAGAATAATTGTAACTGCAATGTAATGAAAACAAAAGTCATGAACATATATTTTAAGATATTTTGCAACAAATTCTCCCTTTTTTGGTAAATGAAGTCACATATCTGCTTGTACAATGTAAAAGCGAATGAGAGGTGATATGAAAATAGTGTTGATGTTTATGTACTTCTGCAAACCGGAGTGACTGAAATGAGGATTCATGTAAAAAAAAAAAGAGAATGTAATTGTCAGTTTTTGTCAAAAATAATGTGTTAAACTATGAATAGAAGCCATCTGAATATTTCAAGATGGCACTTGCAAAGTTATATCTTCGTATGTCTATGCCGGAATGAGAGGTTTGTGCAGTGTAAGTTTGTTGTGTACTACAGTATATGTTTTCTGTTTAATGCTGTTTTTTCTTAATTTAGTCTTCCATAAACCAAGTACCTGTATCCAACTTTAACTTTTCAGCTTCAAAATGGAATATATGATACTCAAAATACTCAAAATGAAAACTTCTTTGCACACAATATATATCTACAAACTGAGACGTTAGACATGTATATACACATACTCTTTAGGCAATGCTCTCTGAATTACTTTCAAAGTTGGAGATGGTAAGTAAATAATCTGTTTGTTGGTGTAAACAGGGAGGTTCTCCCTCTGTCTCGGGCAGTCCAGGGCAGACAGAGGACACGCAGCATGGGTCCAGCTTATTATGATAGTGATCAATGTTCATGACACGGTAAAGGTACAGTAGTCAAAGCGGATATAGGTCATTTTACATTGTTAATAAAACTTTTGTTATTGAAACTAATAAACCGGTCTCTGGAATTGTCTTTCCTGTAATCCACTAATCTCTCCACTGGGTGGAGACAAACTATGAACAAACATTGAGTGAGTTAATTTCACATACGGTAATGGTTAAAGGATGGTCATTTTGTATTTTGGGATTAACACCCCAAAAATTTATTTATTTATTTATTTTTACTATTAAACCTGTTTGTAGAGATAAAATTTCAATCTCGGAAGGTAAGACTGGGACAACGATAGATGGAAAAACAGAATGGGAAATTAACCAGATTAACTTTCATTCAGTTCATAACAAGCAGTGTTTGTCACTCTTTACAAAAGGATGGAGAAAGTAAAATAAAATTGGCGTAAAAGATTGTACCGTCAGATCCCAGACAGGATTTAACTGCTTACTGTTTGCGGTTGGAATGAAGAATATTTTAATCAGTAAGGAAATGTTTGGAATTTTTGTAACGGTGAAGTGATAGGTGGATGATATCTTTTCAACCCAAACATTTGGCCAAATGACCTACAAGAGTTTAGTTCCATATAAATTTGATGATGAGATCACCATTTTTAAATAGTTGTGACACACCACATTATCACGTTTTCATGACATCAAGAGCAGGTGTCAGATACACACTCACTCCCTCCGTGAGACGGCTGTCTAGCTAGAATACATTTTCAGCAGGTCCATTTACAATTTTTCCATTTATTCCTTGCTGTGATACACTTTTACACTATGGTTTTATACATAACCATCAATTAGGTGCAGTTACATACAATGAAATACAAATTCACTGAAGAAATATCATGATCTATATAGCGTATCCTGGGGCTGATATGGAGAGAGACAAGCATTCAATCTGGCATTCACAGGGAGTTTCAGAGAGACCATTCTACCTCTACTTCATGCCTTTGGACTATGGGACATGGAAACGACAGTCTTAACCCCCACACCACCGCGCCGCCTTACGAGGAGAGTGTTATGGAGAATGAATATGTAAGGGAAGTCATACGGTCAATCCCGCATCTTCAGCAGTACAAGGCTGGATACTGACGACTGACACCTTTTCTCCCTTACATCGGCGTAGTCCTGTTTCACACTCGCTCATGTTCTGAGTCACTGGGGTTACAGTCTCCCCGACTTTTACACACACATTAATGCCTGGGTTCAAGCAATCTGCTGAGTCCTTGCAGCGACACGTGTTTGTTTGATCTGGAAGAATGACGAGAAGACAAATCAATTACGAAAAACTGCAAATACTTGATCTAACTGATTGTTTGTAACTGTTAAATGTCCCTACCGTCACAGGTCTCCCACATGTGGCAGTTTGTGCAGCCTGTTGTGCTGAGCTTGAGCCACGTGCATGCGCTGTCCTCTGCTATGGTATGGATGCTCCCCATGCACTGCAGGGCATGCATTTTGCAGACATTCAGAAGGACTGACTTTCTACTCACTGGACTGGTGGCGCACACCTCCACAGATGAGCTGGTGACAAAAATCTTCATTAAACACAATAACCACAGCAGCAAAAAGAATTAATAGAATCCATTCAACTTGCAAAATATCACAATGACAGCGATGTAACTACCTGCACTCAAAAGGCATTTTGCAAACGCATTTTCCTTTGTGAAACTTCTCCCACGGTTCACATTGCAGCTCAGCTGTTAGAGAGGTGTCTACTTTGGGTGTAGTGACTGTGGAATACATAATAATTAATACTATTACTATTATCTACGTGGCTGACATCCATGCATGCAACAAGATAAATAGTGTATCAAACATTAAAAAAATGAATGAAGTAGAGTACGATATACCACACTCACCAACTGTTTATACACAGATTTTTTTCCAAACAGTCGTTTGGATGACTTAATGGCATATAAACCTTGAAGTGAAATGTACCTGGGCTGCATTTGATGTCTGAAGGGTCTGGGGAAAAATGCAGACTGGAGTCACATATAATCGTCGGTTCCCCCAGTAGCTGTCTACCTTCTGGGCAGGACAAGGTGACTGTCTGCCCTATGCCATAGTTCTGCTGTGAAGGAGAGGCTATGACGTCTTCAGAGAGGGACAGAACGGAGCACCTGGAGACTTTTAAGAAAAGCGAAAAAAGAAGAATAAATGTTAAACTTTGGCCCTATGCCACTCAGCGTCTACCCTCTACTGAACTCTGAGGGTATGATGACTAGCGTGATTTGGTATGCATGGTGTCTACCTCTTGTCTGTTTGACCCAGTAAACCCATGGCTCTGTCACATTTTCCTACATACCACGCGGGTTGGCTGGAGCCCTTTATAATGCCGATAGGTGTTTAAGAAGTAAGTTGTCCCTGCCGCTCTTAGAATGGTTTGCGCTGCTGGGACCACACATATTCAGTCACAGTCGCAATAGACTTGGTCCGAGAATTCTCTATTTCGTGAAATATTTCACTATTCGCATTGTAGTTGACTTTGCATTTGTATTGCTTATCATTTTGTTTAGTTATTAAATTACTTTTTGATTTTTAAATTCAAGCCAGTTGCCTCTTTTGATTCATCGTTTCTGGCCGGGACGAGAACAAAGGAGTGTGATCTCACTGGAGGGCCCTTGAACTCCCCAACAAGAGCACCAGGCTTTGAAGTTAATTTTATATTCGGCTTAAAAACGGTCTGTTACAATTTACAAGGCCCGAAAATATTTTTTCTGATGAATTTCCATTGAAAGAAGAAAAAGAGCTATTGAGTTTGTTCTATGGACCCAGTGAATGATTATTGTAAAATCTGGGTATTTTTAATTAAATCCTGTAACCAGACTTAAACAGGAATGAATGGAGCGTCGGCTCGAACACTGTCACTCATTTTTTTTCTAAAACTAGGAGTACAATATGCGTAGCTTTGTTATAGTTACTCACCTGTGCAAAGTCCAGGGCTGGAAGACCAGGTTTGATTAGCAGTGCATTCCAGGATGCTGGTACCAACGAGATAAAATCTGTCTGTGCAGGTGTACTCAACCCTACTACCCACAATGTAAATGTCCAGAGGTACCTGCGCAGCAAATGGACACAAGAAGAGTATTGAGTTTCATTTTTCTAGTTCATTGAGCAAGGCTCATTTCACTTTTTGGAGGCACACAAATGATGTAGTTTGACATACACAAAAACACTTCCCACACTACTATTGTTGTTTTTATGTTGTGTCTCAAATGTGCTTTAATAGGCTACTTCATTTCCCAGAGTAGCGCCAAACTGAGCCCTACTTGGTCTCACTGACCCCAAACTGTAAAATCAACTAGTGTGATGATGACAATATTTGATATTTGCAATAGTTTGCTATGCAATGTGTGGAAAGTTCATGTTTGGTTTAATCTTCACCCGGATGTAGCCGTTGATTAGAACAGGTGGGTCTCCACACATCTGACTTGCTGGGAGAGTTTGGTCGAAGCACTGAGGCTCCATGGTTCTGTAGACAAATAATAAAAACTCAAGATGTTGTATAGAGTTGATGTCGGATGTTGCGAAATTTCCATCATAGTGTTAAACTTAGAATGACTCTGACTTTAGGTACTGCAGGTTTTGGTCTTCACAGTCAGACGCCTCAGTGGGTTCTCCGATACAGTTTTGGCCCCCGTTCCGAGGACTGGGATTAGAGCAAGTACGTCTCCTTGACCTTCGACCCCCAGAGCACGATGACCAGGCGGACCAGCAGGTCCAACTGCCGTCGATCACTCCTTGATGGGAAGAAACAGAAAGGAAGAACAAGGAGTACATTGCAGTCGGTGTGATTTTACCCAATATAGAATGATTCATCGATTTATTCTTAGCTCATCTAACCTGAAAATAATTGAATCAGCTTTTTTTTTTTTTACCAAACTCTCAAATAAGTCCTTTAAACATATCAAACCACCTTGAGACCAGAGGGACAGCAGCTGTAAAGAACCTGTCGAAAAAAATGTGAAACCTACCCTGCTGACCCTGAACTTGGATTCCGTGCTCACAGGCCAGTCCTGATGTGCCAGGCTTACAGATGCATTTGCATTCATCTCCAGCCATGACAACCAGGCCATTGTTGCTGCAGGGCCGGCAATGGCAGGTGTCGCTCTCTGCGAGGTACTGCTCTATGGCCTTGCGAAGGTAGAGTCTCTTCACCCCAGCACACTGAACCTCTTTCACCAGCTCTGACACCGGCCGCAGCTGCAAAAAGATGCAGCGTTGCAGTGTTATTATTCAACAAAGATCCAGGTATCTGAATCCAACATGGTTTTATAGTTCAAAGTGCTAATTTCAGTCTCCCTCACCGTTTGTTTTGTGACGTCAGGAAATGTTCGAACAGACTCAGCCCAGTTTGAGAACATTTCCCAGTTCCTTTCGGGATTAGAGAGCTGCATGCCCTTCAGTGCTGCGATATGTTGGATGCCTCCTCCAAGCACGTTCACTTTATTCACAGAATTGCTGGTGGAAGTATCTATTTTGAAAATGTTTGCCAAGAAATAGGATGATTTAGAAATGGCATGGATGTCATTGGTTAGTATGTTGGTTGTATTCACAGTAACATTTGACCTGAGTGTGTTCCCGTCCCATGTTTACCACTCTTGCATTTCACATGATAAATGGGGAATATAAGAATCCAACGTTTAGTCCTTTCACATTCGTTATAGTCATGTAGTGTGTTGACTTTTTGCCATCGAAGGAAAAAGACAAACAAAAGACAGTGTTAACAGCAGGATTGAAGCAGTGCTACTCAATTTCATCAATTGGATGTGAAAAGAACAGCCATTAATTCTAATATTAATACATTTTCATGCAACCACAGTTTTCATGGCTTCATTTAGCCCATAACATTTAAAAACTTATATTTATTATTTATAAATTCAATGTTATTTACAAATTAAAACAATGCAAATATACACAATTATAATACAGGTGATTATCAACCAACACTATCTGAGGTTAGAGATACTTTACACCTACGCGTCCCTTGGTGGAAATGCAAGTTGCTTAATAATACAACATGCTAAATCTTTCAGAAGGCTGAAGCTTCTTTAATTCAGGCATTCCACGAAGCTGCCGATGACATATAGATCCTCACCCATCTGTCTTTGAGTTTCCTCATCAATCTTGGCGATGATCTCCAAGGAGCCTCCAAGGCTTCCTTCCGACAGGTAGTGTGTTCCAAACATCTGCAGAACCTTCCTATAGGCGGCATAGTCGTAGACCGATGGGAGTTTAACCAGTGCCTTCCAGAACTCCTCAGACAACGGGAGGTACTGAGGAGAGTTGCTCTGGAACTGAGCTACCTCTATGTCACTCTTCAGAACCAATAGCTTGTGGGTCTGGAAGGAATAACATAACTGAGCATGTGGGTTTTTTCACTTTTTCAAATTTGATTTTCCATTTTCAATCCCATAAATGACCACTGGGATCTACGGGGACCAAATGTCAACACACACCTGGGTCTGTAATTGTGTCTCGTGAAAATCATAGTTGTCATATCCTGTCGTGGTCCCGGTCACTGTCGCTCTGTTGACAATGTCCTTCGCATATTGCCATTTACTGGTGTACATCTCATCCGAGAAGTCACTCTGAGCTTTAACCTGAGGACAGCACAGGTTTAAGCATGTTAATCTAAGAATTCAATTCAACCAATCTCAGGGAAATGAAATGAACATGCACTGAAATGATCATCCTTCCAAAGTAGTCTGAGCAAAGGCCCAAACTGAATCTGTTTTTTCAATATGTTCAACTCAATTTAACTAATCAAGAATGCTGATTTAGAACATTTTGAAGCCCATTCGGGGCATTGCCTTGCTTGATTTGAATGCACCATTTTTGTCAACCAACCCCAGATAATTGATTACTATCGGGATTGAAGAATGGAGGTAAAGTCAAAGCTCATTAACACAAAGTGTAATGCAAAGTTACTTCAGATAATATTATGGTATGTTAATACCAAGTGTAACTGCGGTCATTGAGGGTTGGGTCAACTTACCTCTTGTCTTTTACACCAGTTACAAGTCATGTCTTTGTATCTCTCAATCATCACCACATTCTTTCCTCATCTTTAGCCAAGAAGCTCAGTCGCCCAAAATGAACCGGATCACAAAATGCATGAAATGCACCGATGAAAAGGTGAAGAAGCCGTAAGTAGAAAAAACAAACAACCAACCCTCTACAGGGTTCCTCCACAGCGGGACAACTCCAAGAGGACTGTGAATAAACATTGCAATTCTAGATGTGACCAACCATGAAGCTGAACTGGGTAGTGCTCAGCGGCAGTCGGTAGAGAGCACCGTGGACGCCGCTGTAGATGACGCGGCACTGTCCGCCGAAGCTCTTTGTGTTGATGACAGGGCCCCTCCGCTGCCCTGACACCACATCAAACCTGAAGAAAACACCCCGATGTTGAGCATATGGCACCTGCTTCTATGTTGGTGCAACAATACGTCACTTACCCGCGTCCGAGCTGTTCGATGTTGGGCGGGGGAACCGACTTTTGACACACAACGTGTTTGTCCATATCACAGTCACGTTCGTCGTGTCCGTCCTCCTCGCAGTCCTGATCTCCGTTGCACACCAGAGACTTGCTGATGCACTTCCCTGCGGGTGGGAAAACAGAACAAAACGCCTCCGAGGTTGCTATTCACTTCTGCATGAATACGGAAGCGAGCCGGGTTCATCTTCTAACCTGACCGACAGCGAAACCTGTCTCCACACCCGTCGTCTAGAGGGCAGCCTTGTGTGATTTCACAGGGCCTGGTCTCGGTCCGCCCCCCGCCGCAGGGGTTCCCTCCAAACTGAGCGTAGACAGCCATCGCCCGGCTCCTGGTCTGCGACATACCACCAAAGACGTTTACCAACAAGCATGCAAATTGTGTTCTATAGCATGTTTAACGACTTTAAGTTGTGCTGTCTAATAATTACCTTAATTACCTTAATTACAGAGAATTACACTATTCAACTCTAGAAGTAATCGTCCTCACCATTAATCTGGTGCAGCCGTCACATTCTGACCATTCACCGTAAGGCCCCCACTGGCAATGAACTCTTTGGTAACAAAACCTTGGAAAGGAAATTGAATGTGTTGTTGGTAATTTGTGTCATTTGTATTGTTGATGAAGTTGAAACAGTCGAGCGTTAACATAAATACCCTGGGCGAGCGAGAAGGAAGAGCAGCCATGGCAGCGCTGCTGAACAGAGTTGTGCAATGCTCTAAAGACGAGGAGGAGGAATGAGGGAAGAGGACGAGGGAGATGAAAGGTTTCAGCAGCAAACTTGAGGACACAAAGTAACTGAGTGTAAAATCTACTTGCCTTCATGCTGAGGGAAGAGCAGCGAACAGAAGCAGAGTCTTCAAGACGGTCTGGAGCAGCTCAGTTTTGTTCTGGTTAAGGAGGCAAACTCTCGTAGGAACATTCCTTGTAATCCCCTGGGTCTTATCATTTCATGTGTGTGTGTGTGGGGGGGGAGTGGGGGGGGGTAGGGGTTAGGGTTATGGGAGGGGGGTGGCAGGGAATATTTGCTTTAGACCAGAGTGAAGAACATATTTTTGTGGATACGCCTGCCAAAAAGCCTGTTGCGAAACTCCAAAACTCAAAACCAAACCAAAGAATCTCTATCTGCTGTTCCTCCTCAGACAATTGTTATTGAGCGCACAAACTTAAGTAAGGAACAAAAATTGTTTCATTTCAGTTCATCATACTTGAACACAAACATCAGGCACCACAAGGTTAACTGGACATTGGCGCACAGACATCTTGACTATCTGTTAACCCCAAAACACAATCGATCTCGCTAAAAAGAGAAAGAGAGAGCACACTCCTCGTCGTCTGACTAATATTGAAGCGAAAAATCATTCCCCCCCGACGATGGTCAGGGGTGGTTTATTGCCAATTGAAAATAGTCCAGCGATGCAAAATGATATTGCTTCACAAAATTCGATTATAAATCTTTTGCCCAAAGTTTTGTTTCCAGAATCAACATTGTCGCACACGAACATCCTTGAAATCTAACACAAATCTGATGAAGCATGAAGCTAGGTGAGGTCTAATGCTCCATTGCTGGAAGCAAAGCTCGATTCGTTACGGCTCCACAAGTACCTCTCATATTGTATGTGTATAAGCGCTTTTCTCAGAACTGAGATAGGCTTTTGCATTTAATCGTCCACATCTCAGTTTACACGACTCTCTGAGACACGCGTTTTGCCGTCACATCACATTCATAGTAGAGAAACGTGTATTAGGCTGTCACAATAAACGTCATTCAACATTGCCCACATCCCTCTGCTACAGCAGAAGCAGAAAAAAAAGGTTTCTTAAAACCAATAATAATCTTGTTGCGCAGTGCTTAGCAGCAACAATACCCTTGCAAAATACAAAGCAGCAACAATACCCTTGCAAAATACAAAGCCGACTTATGGCCATAGAACACACCAGCTGTTTCTCAATGATTGTAGAAACAATCTCAAAGACAGGATGGCTTTGAAGTTTCTGTGTGAGTGTATGAAGAAAACGATTCTGATTCAATTGGCTGCAGAGAAACGGGCACCAGCAAAGATAATTTCCAGTAACGGCGCCGTTAAGATCAAACTGTCTGCTGTGCAATGAACCCAGCCACGGTGAAGGTGAAGGAAATGCCACGTTGGGGCCAGTGCCCCTTAATCTCAACCCAATCAGCACATCTGGGACTTATCATGGTACATTACACATGATAGCTCAAAAGTTATTGCTTTTTCAAAGGTCATGTTCAACTTTTAAGCCGATGTAGACAGAAACAGACAATGCAGCTCGGAACAAGTACAACAAAGCTGAAGAGTTAAAGAAAAAGGACAGACCGGACTCCCACGTATGCAAGTGTGTTCTGTGTACTCTGACCTTGACTTTTTTGTGGCAAACAATATGACTTTTAATAACTTCATGAAATATTACATTATGACTTTTGTATTACCTTTTTTGATACATCAGGATACAACCTTTTATAACCTTTGAGATGATTATAGGATGACTTCTTTTTTACTAGGATTTTTTTTCTTTTCTGGTGATGTTGAACACACAAAACATTGATATTCTTGTCAACGTCAACTTTTTATTTCATCATATTTTATGATGTATTCAAACAATAATTATCCTATTGCAGAGTCACGTTTGTCACATTCAGGGGATTTTGAATAATGTGGTGCATGAATTGCCTTGTTGAGTCTCATATTCACAAAGTCCACAATATTTCCCTGCAGTGTTGGTTTCTTTCTATCCACTATGATGTAGATTTCCTAAGTAGGTGCGACACGAGTTACCCGTATCTCTATCTGGCACCGCCAGCCAAAAAGGTGCAACAGCATCTGCCAGTGACTCGCGTGGCACCTTGTGCATTGCATCCTTGACCTGTTTTAAATTCCACTTTGTATATGCGCAATAGGGAAACAGTCAGCACAATTCTTATAACAAAGAGTGTAGCATTCAAGGAGACAGTTTAAAGTAGATGAGTTTAGTGTGCCACTAAAAATCAGTCAGCAGTGTAGGGATGTTTTTTTTTGAGCTTGTGATAAACTGTGAACATCTACAGGGATATTTAGAGGATGTATTTTTTTTCAATCAGTGCACATTGCCATTTCTTGCTTGTATAGAGGGAGATTTTCTGAACGCACGTATGAACACAAACTAACACGGCAGCAGATGCCTGTGAGTATTGAGATGTAGTACAGTCTAGGAAACACCAGAGAGCAATAGAGATTTGAGAACTGCGTCCTCCTCATGGCTGAAAAGTGATTAAAGGCTGAGCAAAGTCATGGATTCACGGAGTAAAATGGCATATAATGAAGGATCTATTAGGACAATTAGATGAAAATTGTGATCTTAATGATTCGTACGCATGTTAAGAGACAAAGAACAAGAGAGTGTGTATGAATACGTCTGACAACGAGATGTATATCTGCAGAAAAACATCTCTGGCTGACATATATTTTAGGTTCTGCTATTTAATGAGGAAGTGTTTTGTGCCATTTTTGACATGAAATCAGCATTGCTGTCTTATTATGGGTATATATCTGCTGTCATAGCCAGACAGGAGGCCATAATGTGCATATACATCACAAGCTGGCAGCTCAAAGGGAATACCACTGACTTTACGTGCTACCCTGCCCATGAATTTAGGATGTCAAATGAGTTGCAAAAGACAAAGAAGCTTGGTTTTACTACAGTGGTAATTTCCTTTTGGAAAAGCGAATCGATTTTCTGGCACTTCACAGCAGAGGTACTAAACAGAGAGAAAAGCTCAAACAATGTGCCAAAAATCTCTGCCCTACATTCACAACAAAAGAAGCTTTCTCAAGGCAGGTATCTTATTCAAGAGCCATTTTCCAGGTATAGAAACTTTAGAGCAATGCAGAAACTGCATAGTGTTTTTCAAAAAGTATTTAAAAGCGAATGGAAAAGCAAAATTTCTTTCGATATAAGTTGTATCATTTGTTACCAGTGTAGAGCCTAGCAATGCCTTACCAAGACAGACCCCAAATGTCCCCAAAGCAAGGATTGGTAGCATGTGGTAGAAGGCCTTATGTTTGTTAAAAACCAGGATTGCATTTTAGGATTCATGATTGGAGACGAAGCCACAAACACTTCACTGGCAGTACTCCCTATCGGTCTCTTTAATGACATCCACATGGCATCATTGTAAGGCAGTGTTGTTTAATACACTGTAAACAGACATTCTTCACTAAGAATTTTACGCCTGTCATACAAGTACATTATTGTAAAATTTTGATCAACACATAAACATTTTGAGAAAACATTTAGATATTGTATAAGGGATACCTTATAATGCATAATGCATAATGAGCTTGGATCATTGCAAAAAAACGGATTTCCGTTTTTTCTGAAACGACCTCTCGATACTAAATGACTCGCTACTGTACAGCAGTGACCCAAGGCCCTGCACTTCAGGCCTGAACAGTTGGGCCAGACAATAAGCCACCGGACCGCGCCCTGCATCTGTGAGCCTCGTGATGTTCAGAGAGCATCTCCGACCGCCATCTGCCCAGGGCGGTTCTGACAGAGACACACTCAGTCAATGAATACAGGGCTTATGTATTCCCTTCAACAATAAAACGCACCAATATTTCAATATTTCTTCATTACGGAGATATTTGTATCCCGATAGCCTATTGGTTTAAATGCAAACTATTTGTAACTGCTTCATCCCTGGTTTCATTTTTGAGATGAATGAACCTTTTCTAACAAAGCTTTAAGATCGGTTGCATTTTCCTTGTTTCATCAAAAGCTTGCGTTTTCGAAAGCATGTTTTTCAATGGAAAACAATATTATGAACATGTGAACCTGGTTGACACATAATGTACCCAACCCCCCCCAAAATGATCACATTAGAAGCATAATAAAATATGATGACATTAAAATGGATAATTGACGTTCGAAAAGGATTAAGCCAAAGGGGTTGAAAATATAAGCTCTGAGAGGACAGAGCCAGGACAAATAAAGCCAGGCTGGGCCTAATTCTTTGAGTACAGATTATGAATGTTGATGAAAGTAATGATCTTTGATGAACTCGTGGTCAGTTCTGTTCAATGGCCCTTTCAGGGCCTACTTTTTCTCTCCGTCCCCGTGCAGCCTCCCTTTGGACATGTTGGACTGAGTAAATACATGATTACAATCGCCAGCTCTGTCTTATGTTGACTTTTAATAACTAACGGTGTGTCCAAGCATTTTTGTCTCTATTGTGGATTTTTGTGTAGCTTATAATGGAATTTTAATTGGCAGCCTGCGTGGTGTGTACGCCATACAACTAGACACACAAGTTGCTCGTGAAATTACTCCTCCTCCTCCTCCTCTTCACACTTTTCTGAAACATCTCTTTATTGCCCCGCTTCAGACAGTCTGAATGCCATTATCCATCTCTACCTCCCACAGCTTTACTTCCTCCTCACCTACGCATTTGCCTGTGTGTGTGTGTGTGTGTGTGAGATTGACAGACAAAGAGAGAAAGACCCAAACACATGCACTCACAGATAAGCATTTTGTTCAAACTATTTACATTAACTCCAAGGACATAATGGTGCCTTTTCTTGCACTTTTTGCGGTACAGCTATTACAATGGCCTACTGTCCATTAGGACAAAAAGTGCGAAAACCCTGTGGACTTATTCTGTTAAGTGTTTGCTACATGCATTGTTTATGAGTCACATGACAGAAAGCCAGAATAGCAGATGTTTGTCATTTAAAGTGATGACCTTCAACCCATCGAGGGAGATGAGCACGCACGCACACACACACACACACACACACACACACACACACACACACACACACACACACACACACACACACACATACAGTGAGCCACTGCATCTGCGTTGTCGGTTTCCTCTTTGTGAGCAGCACCTGGCTCCAGAAGGCCAGATGCTAAATCACAAAACAGTCTCAGCAAGGTCACCCTGGGTGCCGCTGCTCACCCACCTCCATCCTCGTCACCCTGGAAACCGGATGATTTTGGGATGCTTTTCTTCAGAGATAGGGGATGAAATACTGGCTTGTTAGCTTAAAAGCTGCAAATCTACTTTAAATGTATAGTACTGCCATTTGCTGATTGAACTAAATCCCAATTAATTTGTAATGGCTTTAAAAACCTTTTTTTTTTAATTCATGCATCAATCACCACTCAACAAGCCACATAATCACTCATTAGGCATGGATGCTTTATTTGATTGATTTAATTTGCCGTTTCCACTTAAAACAGAGTAACCTTTGAACAAAAAGTTTTGGAGTTTTACGACAGCAAATGATTCTTGTCACACCAGAACATAACGGCAAAGACAACAGTTTGGACCAGGAAAGACACACATGTCCTTACAACACAATTCACAAGCCTTCAAGGTCTGCTTGTTTTCATTTTGGGTGTGTGTGGGATATTAGCAGTGCAACACTTAGAAAATAGATCACTTTGGAGATGTGTCCTAAAGTGTAAAAACATTCCCAGCCGAGATGCTTTTGAGAACATTATGCTGAAGATACACAATTACTAATGGACAAAAGAAAAAAAGTACTGTTTTGTTCATGCTTCCGCTTCCACAGAAAATAAGAATAGAAGAAGCAGTATGATAGCTCAGTTCAGTTATACGTTAAGAAATTACTGTCAATGACTTTGCAAAAGTTAAAATAATTTACAATTCATCGGCAGCATACTATTTGCAATTACAGTATGTACAAATTTTTCACGATATAAAACATCTTAACATGAAACCAGAAGTGAAAAGAAGAACTGTTGAAACCCGACAACTTTAACATGAGCTCCACATTGAAGCATAAAATACAAAAACAGGAGTTTCAAGCACATACTCAGTCACTCCATCATTTTGTATTTTCTTTGCTAGTTACTTACACATACATTCACATATCCAAAGAGTTGAGTTTCCTGTTTTGGTTGTACGTTACCAAACTACACAACGACGTCCTTACAGAATACATTCTCAGCAGCAAATGCCACACTGAGCACGTGCGGACGTTTTGACTCGTATGTGATTGTTTTCATGCAAAGTGAAGCAAAACCTCGCAATAAACCATTAACGACCTCTTTCTGGATGCCATTTTAAAGTAGTTTCCCATCTTAAATGACATCCTGCGGGGGTATAGAATGACATCGATTGAAACATGGGAAATATAACTTAAAAAAATGATATAACAGAAATTTGGGGATTCAGTAACATTCAGAAACATTAATACCTGATAAGGTAGACACCAAAGATTTACAGCAAGACATTAAACTAAACATTTATTGTATTTTTTTTCCCATGTGTTACAGCACTGCTTTTGCATCAAGACCCACTGACTCCATATTATGATGTTGAGCCTTTTCTGACTTTAGAAAAAAAACATGTCTTAGTTTAGTGTTAAGCAACATTATTCCCTGTAATTATGAATAACGGTATTAGAATACCACGTTGCACAACGTAGCTATTACACGTTTTGCTGTGAGACTGGGTTGTATTATGAAAGACACAAACCTGTGATACATCTCACGACGACTCCTATATATACTGCACTAGAGCAGTAAGTATAGACGCCCACACAGGCGTGGATACACTCGTACCCAGACGCACTGTACTGCACCCACCATGAAATCCAACGCATTTGACACGTTGGGCTCTTCATCAGAAATTACTAGCAGTATTGATTGCATTTCTAGTTGTCCTCATTTTTTGAAGATTCCTTGTAGCGACTGTTGCCTGTCTTTGAATTTTAAACTAGCCGACGTTGTTATGATCGTTGTCTTTTTTTGAGATGCGGCAAACATAAAGTACACAGCTTGATTGGTACATTGATTTATTTTAATAAAGCTGCACTCTGAAAATCTGGAGTGAGGTAATGACTTACTGATGCACACAGGTATCAATCAATGTCTGGGCTGCAAGTTGACTTTAAAGGACACCATTACTGGGGCAAAGCGTATTCAGAAATTACTGCTGAAGAAACATATGGAAGAAGGTGCATTTATTATCTATGTACTGAGTAAACAAATAGTAATAACACTTTTTAACACCTTTTAACACCGTTTTTTTTTATCTTAGAAACATCTGCAGTGATTTGACCAGAGATGCATACTATGATAATAATACAAAAAAACCCCTTTGTATAGGTTTGGACAAAGAACGGCAAGCTATTTTAACCAGCCTAGAATTAGAGTGGTTTAAGTTACATTATTTTACAACAACTTCTGAAAATAAAAGTCACTAGAATACCAAAAATAATGTACCGATACATTTAGCTGAGATGTATGATCTATGCTGTGAGCAAACTACCCCAGGTGAGGTGGTGAGCCAGAAAACGGTGCTTTTGATCAGTGTGAAAAAAACAATTTGTAAAGCACAGGAAGTAAAGCAAATCAACATCCTCGGGAAAAATAATTTTAATCCCCAAAATAGAAATAAAACCCATAACCTCACTCGCCTCGCGCTCCAGCCAAACACCTGTGGCGTTTCTCTCGATCCCAACTCCCTTTACCTCAACACACTTAAGGGTTTGAGCTTTCAATTCCCAGTAGCCCTAAATAAAGTGAAAGGAGCAGAGCAGCTGCCTTCCTGAACTAAATGCCAAAGAGAAAAGTGGGAGAGCACAGACCAGCCCCCCGGTGCTAGTGGTGGTGACCGCGCTCCCCGACGCCCCCCGCGTGAGCTCTCAGGTGGCATCATCTTCATCTTCATCGTCCATGTGATAGTTGAGGGTGATGACGGCGCTGATGAACTCGCCGAGCTCCACAAAGTCAGCTGTGATTATGTTGATGCCGCTCTCCCCGGGTCGCTGCGATCTGATCCACTGCATCATGCCCGGTAAAGCCCTGGGAGGACGCACAAAAACACCCCCCACACACACACACACACACACACACACAGACACGCACACAGAGAGACACGTTAGGGGCATGAGGATGAGGGGGATATAAAGTCACAAAAGGGATGATTCATGGTTGGCTGGTTGAACACAGCGAGAGACGTGCTGTGATAAAAGATCTCTGTGGCGCAGCATGAGATGTCTGCCAGCCAGACACCGGCTGCGAGGACGGCGCTCTGAACACTCGCTGGACATGTTATCTTTGTGAGCCGGGCAGCAGGGGGGAGGGTGTTACTCCTGCGGATGCCTCGCCCCAAGTTTCCCCGCCTGGCAAAATTCTGAGAGTTGTCTCCTCCTCATGCTCGCTTTCTTGTTCTGTCGAGTTCTATGCTGGCCGTCTGTGCCGGAAAAAAAACCAATGCATGGAATTCTGAAGGATGCTTGCATTAAAGTAACCAAACGCCTGGTGAGAACTGCTGATAGTGGTCATGAATAATTCATTATCAGGAAAATGTATGTTTTTTTGGTGCTTTGGAGCTTTTGACAAACTATTTACAGACTAAACGGGGGCAAATCCTGAAAAGAAAAAAAAAAATCCTGAACCAGAGCTGAGCATGGAAGACGAATGAGAAGCATCGCCGCGGGCGTGCGTCAGCTGTTAGACAAGAAAAGGTAAATGTCAACCACCCAGGGATACCGGCGAAAACAAATTGCCTCTGGATTTAGTTAAAAAAAAAGAGGCTACATTGGGTCGCATGTGACTGTTTTTGTGTCAAACTGTACATGATCATAAAACAGTTTTGTGACAAACATTTGGACACCTTTCAGTGATCGTCTCTCTCAGTCCGCTAGCAACGCCCTTCATCACCGTGCTGGCCTTTGGTGTCAGAACAACCTGGGAGACAAAGAAGGTCCCCTTCCTCCTGCAGGACGAACACATCAGATTTGGAAGTTATTTTTGGTTTCTTTAGATTCAACTACGTAAAGCAACTACAAAATTCTATCAGGAAAAAGAAAAACCCAACTAGTGCGGATGCAATTTGCTTCCCATTACTGTCAGCAGTCTTGTTTACAGCTTAGCCATTGATGTGCCACAGGGCCTGGTAGTGTGATAACGCTTGCATTTACTCGTAGTTCCCATACTCTTGGTTGGTTAATTTTAACTACAGCAAATCAAATTGTACGCCAGTAAGTCCTGAACTCTGAGTAAATGAACATACAAAATGAAATGAAGCTTGACTCATCGTGGTAAGATCACTTGCGCAGGTGACATGACAAAGCACAGAGATATACCCCTTCTAGCCCGGTGCATTATATCAAATAAAGTCAGAGGCTGACCTGCGGTCAGTGACCGATGCCTGGAGAAACTGCACCAGCTTCTCTGGGTCGGTGGTGTTGGCCCAGGGAGAGGGCATCATCTGCCCGGGCCACAGGAAGGGCACCTCCAGGGCCATGGGGTGGTGGTAGAAGACAAGCACCTGGTACTCCTTCTCCCACAGATACTGCAGACACACCTGGACAGGGAGGCAGGTGCTCAGGTTATAAGGGGAGAAATGGTGAGATTTGATATAAGGACCAGAAAAAGGGAATGGGGGGGTTGATAGTAAATACAAAAGAGAAAACACTTCAAACCAGTTGCCAGTTTGTCTAGTAAGTTTTATGGTTATTTGTATGTAAGCAAATATTAAATAATTATAAATATAATTATAATTTGTGCAGATCAATATGTAGTCAACCCTTTTTATTGAGAGGTGAACAGCAACATTTTACATGGACGGGGCTGCGGTTCTATGACAACGTGGATATGAGAAACATTTTTTCATTAAATCTCTGTTAAAACATTTGAGCTGGAGGAGTAAATCAGTTAAGTTAGCCAACAAAAACAGAACAAATATTAATATCCAGGTGCAACATAAATATTAATATTTATATTTATAAATATTAATATTTATTTTGTCATAATCAGCCTTCAGTTGTATATATTCCCTTAGAATAAGTCAAACAACCACTGGGAAATTGTGGTACAGTAGACTAAGTGTATGTCTACGGTAAGGTAGAAACGTTACCATTGAATGGGAGAAGCGATGGACTCAAAGACAACGGAGGAGAAGAAAGGAGTGGATGTAATACCTGTGGAGGTCATTTGTCTTCTCTAAACACCACAGCACTGTGGAGACTTTTTGTTATAAATCATGGCTTTTCCAGGAATGAACGAGTCAACATTGGACCTTTTCTTTGTACACTATATCCTCACTCAGCAGCAGAACCTGACTGATTTATCACTGATTGCTACTCCGTCTCTCAGGTCTTACACACCGTTACTTCGGGATGGGGAGATGGAGGTTCACCAAGTGGTGGAGGGTGAAAAAAAAAAGACTAAAGATTGTAGGAGGGAGACAAATGTATCTGAGCATGACTTATGACATGTGTATGAAGGGCACACTCATACATACGATGTAAACAAATACAAGAGATGTGATAACCATTATTCTCTTACGCTACGATTTCTGTATTCCACTGAACACACACACACACAGACGACAGCCCGATTTCATATTTCTCCTTAATCAAGAGTTGATTTATCATCCACAGTACCTCCTGAGCGAAGACCACCGGGCAGAGCTTGTCCCCAAACACGTCTTTTAACATGGTCACCAATTTTTCATGGTGCATGTTCTGGACGCCATAGAAGTGGTTGAAGTCCAGGAAAACAACCTCTCTGGCGTGAGCCGACAGGAAACCGCTGATCTGCTCTAGACCTTCTCTGACCTAAAATACAACAAGCAACGCACGGATAAATCCTTTGTTTCATTATACAATTCCGAGAAACGGACAAAGCAATTGTGAAGAAATGTGATATACTTAGAATCTCTCAAAGACCACGTGGGATTCGTGAAAGTAAAAACATCACATAGCAACCGCAAGCATTGGCAAAAAATATTCATCACATCAAAAGCCAGTAAACGTCCATGCTGACCGTGGCACTGAAGAGCCCGTGGGCGAAGAACAGCTCGTTGTCGGGGTCGCGGGGCTTTGTGGAGATGCGGAGGTCGAAGAAGCGGATCCCGGCTTCCAGTTGGCTGGTGAAGTTCAAGGTCTGTGTAGCTAACCACTTCCTCATTAGTTTCTTGGCCACCGTGCCAAAAACAGAAACAAAGTTCTGCACCGTCTCCGGCTGCTCGGGTCCAACCGGGGACGCCTCGTCGATGTAGAAGCTGAAGGAATCATGGGAACCTGGAGGAGACACAGACATGAGGACGCAGGCAGTCGTCCGGGGCTGCAGGTCATGTTTCTGCAGTGGGACACAGCTGGACGAGTGGGGTCAGTGCTGGACAACGTCCTGGTGCCATGGCAACAACACTGACAGTGAATGACACTATTGTTCAGGTAAAACCGGATGCCGGTCTGCGATCCCCTCTAACTGTGCATCCTTTTGAAATCCAGCGTAGTTTAGTGTTCGATAACTCAATTTGCAGGAAAGGTTCATTTCTAGCTGTCACAGGTCTGTCACACTTGCGACTGTTTGTCATATGTCTGTGTAAATAGTAAGATCCTTCCTCCTCCTCCATAAAGCGATTGGTATACTCTTGTTGGTCAGGAGAAGCTCGGTAAATCGATTCCTGGTGGCACTTTTCAAATGAAAGTTTAGAGGTTATTTCAGACCAACGGAAGTACGATCCAATAAATCTAATCAGAAATAGTTTAAGGCATTTTCAATAAATCCATGTTTCTTGCAGGGACAAGAAAAGAAAAATAAAGACTACATACTCAACTCATCTATAGATGACAGCTTTTTTCATCTTTTGAATAAAGGACACAGAGCTGCACAAGCAGAATCTGATTTAAACTGATCTACCAGGTCGCTGAACTGAGGTGTAACTGCTACAACCAAGCTGACCAATTATGACTCAGTAAAATATCAAACCATTCATGCATATATTTTTGGAAACTGATTATTGCTGCAAAAAAAATGTAATGTAATTTATCATTGCCTCAAGGTTTCCGAACAAATTACTCATTTACATTCACAGCCGTTGTTTTGAAGTAGCGACGCAAACTCGTCAGAGATACTGTGAGATATCTCAGAAACTATCCGATAGCATTAGATCTTTCACTGGAATTAGATTAAACCCTTCAATCAAAAGCGGATTCTAATTGAACCGTTATTGAAGGATCTTTGTTAAAAGAAAAACTAAATCCCATCACAAAAGCAGCTGTTAAATTGACACTAGTCTCTCAATGTATTGATGCTTTCCTCTGTGACACTTAAGTCTTCTCTAGCTGAGCGAGTCTGAAGGTTGTGTGTCATTCCATTCCTTTTTGAGAGAAGGAAAAGTGTGTGTGTGTGTGCGCGCACGTTATACAGATTAGGCGGGCAGTGATTCCGGTATTGTCCTCCTGCTCTCATAACTGCAATCAGCGTCATCACGTTCCTTCACTCAAACAAACATCCTGCCTTCCCCTCCTCCACCGACACACGGACACAGAGCGCCGAGTTGACCTTCAGCTACACGCCATTGCTGCGCAGTCGGCCCAGAGAGTGACTGTAAGCGGGTTAGACAGCTGGATCCTGGGGCAGGGCAGCAAGCAGCATCTCCACACGCTCAACCAGCAGAGACGCAGCGGCTTCTGCAGTGCGGAAACATCTTGTTGTGCAACAAAACGCCGCAATCGCACTTCGAACTGCTCACCCAGGAATCTACCTGTACCTTCCATCTTCTTCATGAATTCAGTTGAAAATGGCAAAACACGGTGAGGAATACTCACAATCCCAAATGACTGTGTTAGCAATTGACACACGTGACTAAAAGCCAACGGCTGAAGGTGCAGAACCTTTTATAAGAATGGGCAAATAAAAGCTGCATTCCATCACGATGGCACTGCTACCTTAAGGTCTGAATATGATTCATTGTTATTCATGCTATAAAATGATTTGCTCCACTTTGATACTTGGGCCGTGTCCCAAGTAAATCAAATCAATTTAGAATTATGAGGAATACATTTTCAAAATAACTATGCAGACAGCTCCCTTTCCTCAATCATCATACACTTATGTACAACTACAACAACAGTATGCTTCAGACATGAGTCATCTCCCTTTTATTGTCTACTGGAACTAACAAAGCCCATGCCTTAGCAAGTATATGACGTTCACACAATTGTCTTCCTCTCCTCCTCCGTTTCCTCAGGTCAGTTTTGGACCTGTCAATTTCCGCTTGCATGATGGCTTTTCAAAATAAACTTTGCTTAAGTTATGCTTAGGCATCAAAACCACCAGGTTTAGGTAAAGAGTGACAATAACGTGACCAGCAACTCACTCAACAACATAAATAACCACACTCACGATTCACAGGCAAAATGGCTAAAGTTAAATGAAGTTTTTTTCACAGGAAAGTAACAGCGGTGCACTGGAAGAAAGTCCTTTTTGTCCAGCCGATACACTTCACCTCCCACCGGCACCATGTGAGCAAGATCTCTGCACGGACAAACTCCTAATTGCACTAAAAATAACAAAGGAAAGTAAAACAAACAGGGTGAAGCTGAGCTAAATCGCACTTCCCGACCTCCTATGGATCTTTCTTAATGGTTTTATAGTTATTCAAACGTTGCTCCTTATGGCCCGTTGTTCTTCAAGCTCCTGTTCAATTTCCACCGGTCTCACTTTGTCTTCTACCTTGTTATTCTCCTCCATCCTGTTTGACTGGCAGTGTGCACAAAGCCCATACATTTCCAATGAGGCTGAATGATTTGGCTTTCAGAATCAAGATAAATGTCCTCCTGCTGGAAAACTCAATTAACTCCTCCTGTGAGGCAAAGGCAGCCTGTGGAGAATCCATACCAAATCATTTTTGTCCATTTAGATATTGTGACAAAGGGATTTGCTCGAGCGACTTGTTGGAAAAAGACTTTGCAACCACATGAATGTGCACCTGGTCAAACACAACCACATGGGTACATTAACTGAGATTTGGGTGCTTTGTGACTCTTGTAGGATAATCATTTCTCGCTCCCTCTCTTTCTTTCTCCCAAAACCTTTTTTCTCCTGCTTTGCTAGTTTGGAAACTTAGTTTTTTTTCATGGCATGGCTTTAAAGCCGACTGATTTCCTGCCACCATCTCCCTACCAGTGTTCATCCTGGCATCTGATAGCGTTCATCCTTCTTGTTCAGGGTTGAGGACTGACGGACACATTTAGAACTATGGTCCTGGGTCGGCTTTTCCTTCTGCCTGAAGGGAGCCAGCAAGACGGACTGCGATGCCTCTTCCGCAATGGATTTTGTTTTTATTCCACGGGAGGAAGTCTTATCTAATCACATTCTCCCTGGCCAAAGGTACCCTATTAATATTTTACTTCTGGTTAAGCCTTAAGCTGTTATTATTTGTTACAAATAATTTATCCTGTAGTTTGTCTGCTTTAAATAAAATCCACTTAAAAAATCACTTTCTTTCAACCAATACATTTAAGCTGCCTTGATCAACGAGGTTTATATTAGCATTAACGAAACAAATCATTTGTCTATAAAAGGGTTCAAATATGTCATTTACAAGGAGAAAAAGCGTGCAAGGGCGGAATGTCTATCGGCCTCTTTTGGAGTTATTCTTCCCCCTGGTGGACGGAAATTGATTGGATTTTTAAAAAGGCAGAAAGGAAATAACACACCACTATGCCACTTACATTACATGTAAAAACGTTGGCTTGTGGCAAAGACCTGGAGCTTTGATGATTAATATACAAACAACATAGAACTCTAGGAATGTGAGTTTATATTTAGTCCCTGTTGGACGCAGATGTACTGAACCGCTATGACAGGTGTTCCTCGCAGTAAAGCTTGTTTCATGGTGAGACGACCGCAGAGAAACAGATTCACAGTACTTGGGCGTGGAACCTGCAGCCTGGAAGTCTGCAGCACTCACCAAGCAGATCTAACAATAGCCTCTGAAAAACTGCCCATCATGTCCCCCACTGATCGGCTTAGGGGGGGTAAATGATAACTACTGCCGGCATCTTCTCCTCCTTTTCACCTTTCAATGACCTCCATCTTTAATCTGCTACATCTCCCTCCTGCTCCTCCCCTCAGCCCTTCCCTAATTAGCTGCAGAGCAGAGCAGGCGCAGGTCATCAGACTGGAGGACTCGACAGTTTGTCACAGTGTGGGGCAACAGTGGCATATGGGGCCGAGCACTGAGAGATGAATCCTGCCTGAAAGTAAATATAATGTGATCTCTGGCAGGAATGTTTCTATATAATACATGATAGGCTGCTGGGTTGTATCAGGAGCAAAATAAAGAATTAACAAAAAGTAAGAAAGGTATGTTCCACGCTGCCCGGGTATAAAAAAGGAAAAAGAAAAATCCAAAAAATGTTTGGATTTAATGTTTTATTTTTATCTATGACTGTGAAAAACGCTCTTCTCCTTCTTTGGACACACTTCAGTCAGCGTTCAACACAGCACTGAGTCACCTCTCCTCAGGGTGACAAATGATTTATTGTTATCTTTGAATTCTGACAATCGTGCAATTTGAATTCAGTTGGTGCTCTATCCCTCCTATTACCTTCAAATTTACTAACATCTTTTACCCTTGGGGTCAATTTGACCCCAACAACTTAAACCTTCAGAAAATGATTAGAGTTAATATTGTTTCCCAAGTTTGAGTGTCAGGGACTTTATGTTTGTTTGTTGACTACCTAAATAGCCCTTTAAATAAATAAAAATACCCCCCCGCCCCCCCCTCCAGAATACATCCAGAATATTCGCGACTAAGGCGAAATATGCAGATCACCATTAAAATCTCACTGATTGACCTAAAATTGGAAAGAGATATATTTTTGGTGTTTTAATGGCTTAATATTATGTCTAAGTACATGTTTTTTATATCTATATTATTTGGAATGAAAAACAATTTCTGTTATCAAGAATAGTAACATGGATTATGTTCGGGGTCAATTTGACCCCAGGAAAAACAAACACAATTTCAGAAATTTAGAAGGATTTTATTTGTAAAACAGAATATCATCATCATCAGAACATCACTAAGGAACACATAACAGGTATTTATTTCCACAAATATTAAAGTACATTTGAGATTGGTCTATGCTACACTAAGTGCTATGTATGCAAATATTTTTGCATGAGATAGTGAAAAAAACAAAGTCACTAAAATTAGTTTGACAGAATATGAACAGCATATTATCTTTCCTTCAGGCCACCAGAAGGTACATTCCAGCCTTTGGTCTGCACTACTGTACACATGATGTGCAGAGAGTGCATGTATGTTCCTTGCAGATGTATTTCTTGCATTTCACACAGGTGTTGCTGGTCTTGGAGTCATTTCTGTTTGGACAGACCTGGCACCTACCACGTTTCCTGCCTGTAGTTTGAACCACTGGAGGAGCTGCACAGTGTGCCTCTGTATGGATGGCCTTCACAACAGTTGCAGCAGCAGTTGATGCTCTTGGAAGGCACTGTCTTCTCTCGATATGAGATTTCACCAATGCGTAACCCAGCTTCTCCAGGAAAATCCTCCTTCGAGTCAGTTTTCCGCTGTTCCAGTCCTTGTTTATCTCACTCCATATTACAAAGGCATTGTAGGCGCTCACATCAATGATGTTGAAGAAAATTACAAGGGGCCAACGGGCAGTCATGCGTCGGCAGCTGTATGTGGCTGTGACCTTGTCCAGGTTATCTACCCCTCCCTTTGTCTTGTTGTAGTCCAAGACCATTTGTGGTTTTCTGTCTTCTCTGGTGCTCAGGACAGCATCTTTGTGCATGGTGCTCATCAGCAGGACATTTTTCCCTTTCTTGGGGCAATAGGAGACGACAGTGGCTCTGTCAGTGAAGGCAAACATTGAAGATGTTACCGCCCTGTTCTTCATCACAAGCAGCTCAGTGGGAAGCTCCGGCTTGTTTTTTCTCACTGTCCCCAACATGGTAACCTTCCTTTTCAGCAGTTCTTCACCCAGGGCATACGATGTGAAAAAATTATCACATGTAATGTTATGACCATTCAGTCCTTCAGCCATGTCAAGTACCACCCTCATGCCCTGATTTTTTTCAGGTGCTTGCCCAGGGGATTTACCAGTGTACACCTGCATATTCCAGGCATAGCTGGACTGTGCATCACATGCTGCCCATATTTTGATACCGTATTTGGCCGGTTTGCTCGGTATGTATTGTCTGAAGGGACAGCGGCCACGAAATGCAACCAGACATTCATCCACAGTCACGTGGGGGCCTGGATTGTAGAGAAAGGGTAATCGCTGAACCCACTTGTCCCATACATTTCGTATCGCTGCAAGTTTGTCACGCGCTCGTCGGCCCTGCCTAGTTTCTCTGTCATCGAAGCGTACGACACGGGAGAAAACATGGAATGTGTTTAGAGACATCGTGGCTGGAAATATTGCCCTTCCAGTTTCAGCAGCCCAAAGACTTGCTGTTGCTTCGCCTTTTGACTTGTACACTCCGGCCAAAATGAGCAACCCAATGTAGGCTTGCAAGTGAGTCACATCCAAGTCTTTCCAACTCTCCCCATACACGCGGCTCCCCTCTAAATTTGTCATCTCCAGTACATCCTTTTCGATAGACGGTGTAATGAATAGCTCAAATGCTGATTTTATGTCTTGGACATGGCTGACAGCGTATCTGGTGGGGCCTGGAACCATTTTGATTACATTAGCAGCACGAAGTCTACCCTGTTGTTCAAGAAGTGGGGAGACAGACCATACTAACTTTCCATTTTTGGAAGGCAGTATGTTTGTTGGTGGTTGAGAGACCGGAGGGTCAACGCTGAGGGTATCATTCTCATCAGAAGAGGATGCCTCATAATCAGGGTCCTCCTCAACATCATCCTCTGTCTCCGACACATTCTCATCCATGTCACTGTCATGGTCAAAGAGTTGTGACAACACCTCACTGACACAAAACCTTTTCTGAGAAGACATGTGTAGTTTGTGCAGAGAGCAGAAAGAGAGCACACAGAAAACCAAGAAGACTGCTGTGAAGGCTTTTATAAGTTTGCTCCACCCCTCATGTTGTGTGGACTATCAATGTCTTCATGGGAACCATAAGTTCCCGCCCCCACCTTGCAGCTGGGATAGAGTCTAAGCAAATCAAGATTGGTTCTCGCAAGACAGAGGCTAAAATATGCGGGAACGTGAGAGCAGACAGGTGTCGGTGCTTGAATTCATCAACAATGTTGCAACCTTGTGCGGGAACAGGCAGAGGCATAAAAACCCGCACGCACACACACCACATACACCACAAGGGTTATGTAAGGCTAGGGCCCTAAAACTTTCTGAAGATTATACAATTGTTTGTTATAGTGACCTCAATATCATCCAAAACAACCAGAACCAATGTGTGTAACATGTTGATATTTCTTTTATGTTTTACACAGTGAAAAACAGCTTGGGGTCAAATTGACCCCGAAGAACACCGATGCGTACAAGTTGTGTACAGGAAATTGAAAACATATCTTCTTGTTAATTTTATGTTTACCCAGTTGTCCCCAATAAATTAGGAAAAGTCATGAAATATGAAGCAAAAAAAATTATGTCAATAATTTATTTAGAGACGTTAAACATTGAATGGGGTCAAATTGACCCCAAAGGTAATAGGAGGGCTATGACAATAAAAGAGCAATGCGTTTTGGTAAAATGTAGGATAATTATTGCCACTGCGGATCAGGCTTTGAACAGATAAGGACACAACATATTGAAGAATTTTGTCTTCCTCTGCACCTGTTTGGGCACCACAATGTTGCATTTTGGTCCCATGAGATATGTTTGCAGTGGAATCTATTTAAAGAAATTAAATAACATTTGGTAAGACTTCATATCCTGTAACAAGAATAATATGCATCTTGATGACACCTGCTGTCCATCGTTTTGTGCTGAGTGGAAGGTTCCCCCTTTGAGACTATTGAGAATAAACCAGTTTCTTTCTTCTTTGAGGTGCTTTTATCTCTTTACTTACTTTAACTCTTGTTGGGAGTCGGTCAGCTGGCCGTTTCTCGCCTGCAGCTTGTTCAACATGCAACAGCAAGAAGAAAGACCACTCTTCTGCCTGTTCTGACCTCCCGACATTGTCTTCCAATTTAATCAAACGTGTTATTTGTTTTGTCTCAAATACAGCATCAATAGACAGTATATCTTCAGTTCACTAATCGCGAAGCCGACAGATGATTGTGTATTCTAAGCAGTGCAGAGCTAATACGCAGATAGTGCGGATTGTTTAGCTTTTTGGCAACAGCAGAGCGCCGTGCCATTACATCACCCTCACGAGTGCTTTAAATTGCCAAAACACTGGATCTCTGAGGCCGTCGGCTGGTGAACTCACTTTTTTTCCTGGCAAATAAATAGCATCACTGAGTTACAGAGAACAGTGGGCGGCTGCCGAGGATTGTTTATCAGTACACGATGAATACAATATTATTTATTATAATTACTTGTTAAAAAAAAAACAGTTGTCTCATTTGTTTCTTGTTTGTTCCAGAAATGATAAGACACGTGTGCACAAGAAAGTGCAAATCATCGGAGGATGTGAACAGAATCTGCGTCCAGGTGAAAGACAGAACGCAGCTGAGCTGCAGGCCACAAGCCAATAAGAAATAATGATACATGATTAAATGGGGCAGACCATGTTCCTCTGCCGGCTTGGCATGGTTGAGATGGGGTGTAATACAGCACGTCACGTGATTCTGCAAAATTACAATCATGAGGTAACACACGTCATGCTGCTCCTGTCTCTCAGTGAGTATTTGATTACAATGCTGGACTGCATGCGTCTTGGCGTCCTTTAGAGCAACCGACATGGCTGATAATGTGACGCCACTAGGGCTCAAGGTCCAATCCTTCTGACGCTGAAAAGCCATCGTTGTACATGCCATCAGTAAACACACTAACATCAAAAGAGAAAGAGATGGCGAGGGAGTGGGGGGAAACGAGAGCTGGGAGCGCAGGGAATTAGATATGCAAGAAAAATGAAGAATGAAAGAGCTTTGTGCGGAGGTGTGATAATCACTAGGCAGCAGATATGGGATTAGCGGGCTGCTAACAGGCCATTCCATCACTCAGACCAGTGCTGCAGCTTTACAACCATTTCCAATTTGAATGGAGTTGAAGGAGACCTGCGCACTGATTGGCTGAAGGTCCAACAGCTCATTTTCTATGGGATGCGCTGTGATCCCATCCCACTATCATGTCCTCTGTGGCCACCACAGAGCTCACGTTTAGTTGATGTATCCGTCCTTTACCGTGACTCTTAATTGAATTGTCATTTATCTTATATGTTCTCCTACAAGCAGGATAGCATCACAAACGGATGTTACTGTTCACAATAGATGGCACCTCACACGTTGCGCAACAGGTTTGACCCTTTGTGCAAATGAAGTGCAATGAAACCCAAACCCTAATTAGGCTGTGTGGGTTCCACGCGGGGTGCGAAGTAAAACATAAACAAGTTTGCAAACCAACACAGTAGGTTACATTTGTGTTTGTCATTTACTATGGAAGCAACATGAAATGCGCGCGCACAGAAAGACACGGACGGTGCTCCCTCACCTGATTACACCGGGGCAACGGAAAAGAAACACCTACCGGGAATAGCCAGATTGGTGAGCGGAATAGTGTGCATGCTCTGCGGTAAACTTGCCATCCAGTCAGCAAAGCGCGTGTCACTTCTCCCGTGAGACGAAGCCATGCTGCCGCTGTGCACAACGCTCCGTTCTCCCGGACCGGTGCCTGCGCCAACCTGGAGTCCGCGCGCTCTCTCTCTCTTGCTCCCTCCCTGTTCGCCTGCTCTCTCTCTCTCCCAACACACCCTCCCTGCCGCTCGCTCTTTCGCGGTATCTCTCTCACTCACACACACACACACACACACACACACACAGGGACACACACCAGCGTGACGGAGAGTCGGTCCACACACCCCCAAGCGGGGCGCATCGGCGGAGGCGACGATTGCAAAACAAACGGGGGTTTGTTTGGTGGATCCAAATAAGCTTGTGCGCAGCGATAACACTGCAAAGAATGCACCGTTCGGTTTTACAGTCGCATATTTATATACAATAACGGCTTACCAGCTGTCATTGTTGTTTCTCCATCCATCTAAAATCCGCGTGTTTGCTCATAGTGTTTGTAGCGTGGAGGTAGAAGACCATGCAGTGGCTGCATGTACAAGCTGTACAGTTGGGACTGCACACAAAATGGGTGAAAAACGAGATTCTCCCCTGATACTATCACTTCACAGCGTGGACATCGAACAGACAGTGCGTTGTCAACGTGCTTGTACATTACTTGGTCACTTTGTTGGGTGTGTCTCTGTTGGGAACCGAACCGGCGACCACAATCTTGCACCAGAGTTGCGCATGCGTAGTGAGGCTGGAAAGCTCGTTTCTGGATCATACCACTAATCAACCGTGATATTTTTAAGATAGCCCAAAATAAATCAATATAACACGTCAGGTTACAGGTTACTACGTTTAGTTTATTCTGTTGAAATTCAGGATCAGCACTAAAAATTGCAATGGTACATTTCTGGGTTTATATGTTGTGCGACCTAATCAAGGACACATATGTGTGGCTCTGTTGATAGTTTTTTTTTGGAGCAGAACCTACATAAGCGTTTTTTTTTTTTAAAAGTACCTTTAATGCAGTCCAATTGACCTAATAAAACTAGCAACCTGGCCCAAACAGGGTTTTAAATAGCATATTTATCTTAAAGCAGAATACTCATAACCCACGAAGGAACAGCCTTCCTGTCTCAGTTCACCAGAATCATTGAAAATCCCAAACTTGATAAAGATAGACTGGCTTCCACTGACAGGGAGAGTCTGCAAAAGTGTAATCTGGTGAGCAACTGATCCAGCTGTTTCAAAAATTGTTTGAAAGCTGTTTGAAATTTGAACTCGATAAAACAGCATGAAATGTGAAATACTCCCACCAAGAGTAAGAGGTAAAAAAAAATGAAGCAGCCTTCCAAACTGTCTCGGCTCATACGCATTCGCCATTTAACATCTCCCACATTGGGCTGACGCCCAGTTGGTGGGAAGGTGCGCACACCAACCACAGTCTGAGACAGAAGGAATTCCAGGTTCTACTAATATATTATCAGAACCCAGAAGTATTTAAACTCCTCTACACGACGTTATCGTACACGTTATTTTGGTCATGGTGGCTATTTTGAAGTCAGAGGGACTGACTGGTAACGTGTCAGGCAACGTTTTCCAACTTGAAATTGCTTTAGTTTTCAAGTTATTGGGTCTGAAAGAGGTTGAAGCTGCCCCATAGAATTATGGGTAATTACCAAAACCGCTGTGTAAATATAGATGGATTACAAATGATCAACACATTAATAAAAAATAGTTACTTGTATCGGTTTATGTGCCAATTGGTGAGATGGCACTTAGACTAAATCACACTAAATCACAGTCCTAGCCAGTGATCATTGCAGTACCGCTTATAGGTTTTGTTCTGTTAACAGTAAATACGAGCCAATAGATTGTTATTTTGTCAATGTCACCTCGAATGGAATTCTCATATCTTAAGCATGGGCGTATAACATAAATCAGATGCAGTACAACGACATGCCGTTGGGCTGGTGGCGCTATTTCAAGTTAGATAGACACATATGTAGATATTTTACTGAATTTCCTGTGAGGGTGACACAAATATGATTGTGATAAATGAAATAAAACATTAACAAATATTTGTTTTGCAATAAAACTTTGAATGTTAAACTTATTAGCATTAGTATTGCGTTTTTGACATCATTCTGATGTTTGCTGAAATTAATTGGATAGCCCTACTTAGAAAATGTTCCACTATCTAACCAGCGGCGGCTGCTGGGGCGACGAACTTGACCAATTTAATATATAGCATTTCAAACACAATGTGTTAATTTGATTATAAAAGCCTCCTCGTTGCCTGTATAATTTGAAGGTGTGCTCCAAATTACATTGTTAAAGCTGTGCAATATCTTATTTCTCTACTAACTTGATAGACTGAATATCAGCATTGCCAGGCCTTGACAAAAAAAAAAAAATGAGCTCGAAATAAATGTTGGCTCTAAATACGGGGATTGACGATGACTAAGTCCCAATAACCCAGAAGCAGGTCTGAGGTCATGCACTTGGCTGATGAAGATCCATACGGCAGTGATTCATTATCACTGCAATTAATAGAGCAAGGTTTGTGACTAATTGACAACCACTGTGGTGATAATCAACTGGCTGGCCAACTTATCGTCAGTTATTCAACAAACTGGGTCACCACGGGAAAAAGTTAGACAATCTACCAACAGCAGCAGGTTTTTAGAATCATTTAAACCCGTGGGGGCAACTTCAAACCGGTGTCCCTCCACAGCCATTATAATAAAAACAGGCTTGAGCGGAAGCCTGTATTCCCTCATATCATTAAAGTACTAGCATGAGAAATAGGTTACTAAATGCAGGCTTACAGGGTACCGCTCAGATTTGACTCATAAAGGGACGTGGTGGATTTACATTAACAGCCGGTGGCAAAGGCCCCTGTCACTTTCTTCCATTTTTCTGCTTGATGACCCAATCCAGTTTATCTTCTTTATCCCAAAAAGCCCGCTGGCTGAATTGCCCGGTTATGTCACCGCCCTCAGGTGATGGTAGCGCTTCTCTACTCCAGTAGAGAAATCACATCAGGAATGTCAATGCAAGCGCACCACCCATATATAGAAAGCTCTAACCTGTAGTGTCACAATCAGACACTCTTACAGCCCTTTGCCTTCAGTCAAAAACGCCATTTGTTGGTGGGGGGGGGGGTTCTACTTTTTGTCCAGACGTCAGAAGATTTAGAGAAAAGAAAATAATCAGAATATTACACTTGTTTCACTCAACAAGGTTGTATGTGACTTTATATACAAAGGCAAGGCGAGAGCAAATGTCAAGTATCAGACAAAAAAAAGATTTTACAGTATGGCAATGATTGTTAAACAGTTTTCTGTCGGAACCTTATTATTGCATCTTTCATTTTTTCGAATGGAGAAAAACTGAAAACATATTTCACATTAGATTAATATTGTCAAGGACATTTGTCGGTATAGCACCTTTCCCACAAACTACAAAACATATTCCCTCCCACACTGAAGAATCACCTGAATTAAAGCACACATTCGTTTTCTAAATTCATCCTTTTACAGCGAGTTTCTGACACTTTAAATATGATTTAAATTATTGCATAACTTTTATTCATAGTACCAAGTTGCATTTTTCTTACAGAAACTGTAACGAAAGAAATGATTAAATTAACAGGAGAGAATGTTCTGTTTCTCCCCCCATGCGTGTCTGACCACCTCCTTAAAAACAACCATGCATGCTGGTTCCTGTGATTCCCAAGTCAACTAAACCCTTCTGATGTGTGCACGCTGATTACCAGGGAACTGAACCACACTGCTCTATTATGCATTCACTTTTGACCCATCTTATGCTCCTTTATCGCCGGCTGTTGACCAGAGGGCAAAAAATGAGTGCCACACAAACCGAAAAACAAAGATCCACTGCAAAGCTCCTTTTAGATTTGCTGCATGGACCTCAGGTTGGGAGATACCTAGAAAAGACACCAGGCAGATTAAAAGAAAGCAAAGACGTGTCATGAAAATGAAATGTAGCCCTCGTAGGCAAACTGTTGAGTTACTTACTTGAAAATCGGTGCCAGTGCACGCTTTGATATCCTCAGGAGTGAGCCCCTCCCATACTTCTATCAGGGTCAGGCCTTTTGTCTCATCCACATCAAACACGGCCTGGTGAACCCAAAGTGGGAGGGAAAGAGAAAGAAAAGGATGACATGTTTAGAGAAAAAGATTAGTTTGACACAAAGACAAAATGGCCTTTTCTTTATTTCTTTAACCGATAGGTCAGAACCCCATGATGTGTGGTCACGGGGGTCAAAAAGGAGGATGTGGGGGTACTCAATTATCTAAGTGATCTAAAAGAAATGACAAAACCTTACCGCACCACTTCAGTGACATCAACAGATGACAAAAATAGCTGCAATTAATGGTGGAATTGTGAGAGTGGTGCAAAAAGAGTGGTCCTCAACTCCGGGAGGTTAGAACACGACAAAGTAAGGAGCAATTACATTTTAATTGTGGCAATACTTTTAACAGTCAAAACATAAAAAGGGACAAAAAAGACGCCGCAGTTGCTCTGTGATGCAGAGGGATGAGATAGTCGGAGGCAAAGCGAGCATCGAGCGGGGAGGGATAGGACCCAATGGGAGCCGAATTCAACCGTAAACAACATGTTGTTCTCAAAACAATTCCTAAAATGAAGCCAAGATTTACCAAAAGCTCAACAGACACAACTAGACTATTTGGTGTTGAAGCAGCATTTCGCTCACGGGCGACGCATCTCTTCAGCCTCCATGAGTGACGGTCAACTATCACGATCATGTCTGGTTTACAAGAGTCACACAAAACCAGGCGTGTGTGATTCATAAGTGAGGCCCTGGGAGAGCGCAACATCTCAAAGAACAACGACATGCAGTACGGGAAAGGGCAGTGCTCCTGTTGCAAAGAGTGGCAGGTGGCCCTTTTGTAAATTACCATTATGAATCCTCCCAACCCGGTAATTTACACTGAAGGACAAAGCACTATAAATGCTGTAAAAAAAACAACAACTAAGTCCTGTTCTGTGTTCTCAAAAGTCAAAGTCGATCTGATACACTAATGCTTGGGAACCGCTTTGAGCTTCAGGAGCCCAAATCCTTATTTTCATTCTATGAGCAGTGTCTGCGAACAATATCAGAGTGACACTGTTTTTTCTACCCAAAGTGCCTCGACTCAAACACATTCTGGGCTTTGTGTTGGCTTCTCTTCATCTTGGATTCACGTACGAGTACTGAACCATGATTCTCAACACTGTAACCGTAAGTTAGTACATTTATACACCCACAATGGCTGCTTAAAGATTGGAAAGGATTTTTAACATAAAGATGACTGTTGATTTCTCAGGTGCCTACAGACTGTTAATACGTTGGATAATTGACAATCTTAAAGGAGCAGCGTGCAGGATTTAGGGGCATCTAGTGGTGAGGGTTGCAGATTGCATTCAACTGACTTGCCCTCATTCCTCCCTCCTTTCCAAAGCGCGTTAGATAACTACGATGCCACTGAGCTACTGTAAAACTGCAAAAGCCTCTCTCTAGAAACTGTATCGAAACGGTTTGCATGTGCTGGGCTACTGTAGGAACAGGCCGGTTCTGTGAAGGACACTTAAGGGACTTTACACTAATGCAAACAAAGTTAACAATATTGCATTAAATTGTTGCCGGCAAATTTCCCTTTAATGTCCATGGAATTCTGTGATCAAGTGATTGGATTACATTTTAATCAATTTATACAACATGCTGATGTGTGCACATCCAGTAAAGCTTATACAATAATATATATTTATACAACGACACTCTTTAAATCAAACTAAATCTGCAGCCATACCATCATACCCATTGATGGAAAAAGCACTGTGAGCTGAGCTGGTTCCTGTTGCTTCTGTCAGCACGGACTGACAGACTAAGCCACAAACACATCCAGGCAAAGCCTGTCAGGACTTTCAGCTCATTAGAACCGCACACAGACACAGCGACACGGCAGGAGGCAGATATCTCACTCCAACGTAGCAAGACAGATGGAATGTCACAAGGAGCAAGGGGTCCATGGGTAACACAGGCCCTGACACGCGTCTCTAATCGCCACGAACGTGATTAAGGGAAATTGAAGATGTCCCACAGGTGCTGGATATAGGAGGAACAGGTGCTATGAAGTCGATGTTCTATTCGTGTTGAAATTCTATATCTGGACCTTGAGGCTGAAATGAAAGACGGATTGAGTGTGAGCTCACGGTTTGAGCTTTACGCTTTAAAATACCAAGGACTATGACACAAAACCAGCATGGCGAGTAAATGCTAGAGGGACAAACCTGGACTTACGCACACCTTTTCTACTGGAAATAGAAAACTGTGGCTCCATTTGCAAAGCAGCTTTTTTTCAAATGGGAAACTGTCGAGTCATCTTTCTTCACACTGTTCGGAGTCACCACCACCATTAACAAGATTGATGCCAGTTAGACATTAAGAAGCTGCTGGTCTCACCCACGTGTTGTCTGGCGAGAAGTGCGCCGAATGTCACGGAACATCAATAGGCGACATCCTTCAGCCCAACATATCCGAAGAAGGAAAAGGCTGGAAAATCACATTTTACCAGCTAAGAAATACTCAAAAGGTGATCCTGTGAAACAGCAGTGACAAGGAGCAGGTTTTAAGATGAAAGCAATGTGACAAAAAATGAGCTTGAATTGGTTTTATGGAGTAATAATCGCTGTCATTGGACACATTTCACGGCCCGTTGTGATGACTGAATGATTTAACGATTCTTCTGCTTCATCTGTGAATTAGTGGGCAACAGTTTTGTTTTGTTTTTTAAACACAAGATAATTCCCTGAATAACTATTGAGACAACGAAGCGCTGAGGAACTTAGCATACAAACCACCGTCACGATGCGACTCACCGTCTGCACATGCGACAAACGACAAAAATGATCATTTCAAAAGACGTTGCCGCAAGCGAGCCCCACTTGTGAAAAGGGGAACTGTGGTTAAGAGAAAAGAAATGGCAAACACAGTGAATAAAATGGTCCAAACCACATAGACAGGCAGCAGAGACTGTGCCTGAGGCAGCAGGTCCCCCATCAACGACGCCATTAAGAACAACACTTATTACCATTCCTTCTGGCGGGCGGAGGGGTGCCGCGCTCGTGAGAATATATTGTGTGTCAGCATCTATGCATCAGTCTGAGTGGAGGGAGCAGAATATTTTTTGGCAGACCCCAGTTTATGCAAATTGGAGCAGAAATTTGATTTATGCGAGATAGCGAACTGGAAAAAAAAAAAGAATAACAATTATCAGGATTTTAAAAAGGATTGTTGTTGCCTCCAGTTCAAACTCACTAATGATTTACTAATGGGAGTTTTCTGTGGTCATCACCAGAATAATAATGTTCTCACATCCCACAGATAATTTCATAAACGCTGTTTTTTGCTACTAAAAGCTCAAATGTTAGGCTGGTGTGCTGTTGTATTCCATTCATCGGACCATTAGCTGCTGATTTAAATCAACTCTTGACATTAAGCTCTAATTGGTTTTATGAAAAAATCTTTAATAGGTTTTTAGTTTACCACCATATCCTGTGTAATAATCATCAATGGTGAGTGATACAAAAGTCCTGGCGATATTCTCAGTGAGATTTAAGAATGGCGCCTTAGTATTCTTTCCATTTATCAGCATTTATTTGCAATATCAGCTAGTTATCTTTCAATATTGTAATGGAAATACACACAGCAGAGGCAACTGTTCTTCTACTTTCAGATGCATGTCTGGTTAAACGGTACTAAGGGCTTAAAGAAAGCGGTCAAGACAACTAAAACCCCAACGGCCACACAGGAGGAAAATGGATGTCAACTGAATCCTCATCTATAAACATTGTATAAACTATAATTATCTTATTACAAACTTATTATAATAGTGCAGTAAAATCAGACTGTCAATGTGTCGCGTGTTACTTTGAGTCTCAGAGCTGCACATTTCATGAAGGTACGGACCCTCCTCTAGAAGAGAACATTAAACATTTGTGTTCAATAGATACCTGCTCTGAGCAGCACTGTGCTCTCAACCAAACTCATTATCATTTAACAGGTAAGGTCAAAACAGGAACGACATCTTTTGGCAAACGTCACTGGGACACTATATTAGAGGGTAGGGAGGGATGAGAACATTTCACTCCAGTCCGGCCGACTGGGTGTCGATTCAAACCATTTTTTTTAACCAGATTAATTTGATTCTATTTTTTACACAATTGCAAACAGCGAACGAGCATATAGAGCAGAGAAGAAGAGCGTTATGAAAAGCAGTTAGAACGTGTTGAAAGATGTGCGCAGGAATTGAGAGTAGAAACGTTATCGAATTCAATCATTTGAGTCATGAGCAAGAGAGTAAAAAGTTGTGGATGCAATAAGGAGAGAGAGTACTAATGGATATAAATAGAGAGGAAAACCGCAGGAGATGAAAGAGGAAGAGGAGGAGAGGAGGTTGTGCAAGTTGCAGCTGGGCAGCAGAAAGAGCTTTGACATTTATAAATATTGACAGAAATGTCCTTGTTGAGAAATGTTGCGCAATCACGACAAAAGCCAGCCGAGCAGGAGAGAACGGCACAAAGACCACGGACACGCCGTGCGACTTCGCCCCCGACAGGTCGTGTATTATGAGCGAGTTCCAAAGGCAGAGACCACCAGCGGGCTACAGAGACGCAAGATCTACTACTACTGGAACCTCGCGGTTTGGACCATTTCTTTCCCCGTCCTCCCACACACATTTCCTACCCCCCAATCAGCATGTGTGCCTCCTCCTTCCCACCTCCTCAGTTCCCATTAACTGCCACCCACCACCCCCTCCCTCTTCACAGCTCTAAATTTCCTCCTAATCTTGTACTTTAGCTTTGCGCTTATTTCCCCTTCAGCGGACGATTCCACCCCGGGGAAGCATCGTCAGCACTGTCCTGACGGGATAAGTGTTACCTGTGAGTCGACTGTTGGCCATTACAACTCGATTGGAAGTTGTGCAAATAATGGGCAAATAATTATCACGCCCTCCCTCCCCCGACGCCACGTGTGCTAGCGAGCATGACAACGCGGCGCTGCCAATGGCTGTAGCCGAATAGTTTGACCTCGCTGCGCCAAAGCTCGTGGAGCACAAGCGTCACATACAAATGAAGACGTTGGAGATTAAACTCCGTAATCTTAAAAAAAAAACTCACGCAGCACCTTAAAGGGGGCTCAACCGATTGAATTCATAAGTCAGTCAATCTAATTTCCACCTAATGAAGTTGTCAGGGAGACGTAATTGACAGGTGGAAGCTGTAATGTGTGACTTGTGTTCACTGTCTGTGATTACAAATGATACTTAAAGTTAAAGGCATGAACTGAATATTACTACTCTAACCTCACACCTGATGCCTAAACCGAACCAATGCAACCCACAAAGGCAAACCAAGCCAATCAGAAGATCGCCTTCAACAAAACAGGATTCATCATTTATCCTATGGACCATGAATTTGAGCGCCCAATCTCAAATTTGACACGTAACATCTTTGCCAGGAAAAATAGTTAGATATCACATTACGGTTGAGCCGCTATTCCCAATCCTTTCTCGCCATTAGATTACAGTCCTTTACGGCTGCTTCGACAAGCCCACTGTTGTGATGGCTAACAAAGTAGAAAGCAAGCTACTGCTCAACAAACAGGAATCTCAAACAAAGGACATTCAGAGCCTGAGAAGATACTTTCTATTTAGGCACTTTGAAGGATGTTTAAAATGCAATCGTTTTCTTTAATATGCTACTGTACTACTTTACGCCCAGTGCATCGCTCCTGTTCCTTCAGTGGTAGTCATATGGAATATGATATTTGGAAGTCATGATATGACCAAGGCTGTGTCGATTAGGTGTTCTGGTTGAAGGGATGGCGTCTTCCGTTGGTTCATTGTAGGCGCTGCTGCTGAAGGATTTTAATCCAAATTTAAAGAACGCTTATATTAGTTATTTTCAGATTTGGTAAAAGGTTTTTATGCTTTGATCTCCCTACTGGTTCTCAAAAATAGAGAAGCAGCAAGGTCCTGTAAGTAAAGAATTTTATATAAATTAAATGTACCTTTTCTGTGATGATTCGATCCACACACTGCTTCCCAGTTAATGGCAGGCTGCATTTGTCCAATATCTTGTGTTTTCCGCCCTGTGAGACAGAGTAGTTGGTTAAAAAACAAAAAAGATGTAACATTACAATTTGTGTTAAAAGTTTCCTGGAAGCAACTAGTTAAGTACACGCATCGTATCCCCGAAGGATATGCAGCATTTTCATCCACAAAACTCTCCTTTAAGAGAAATGCCTCGGACGATGCCTGAAAAGCAAACATCATACATCAACCCCCCGATAACGACTAACAGCAGACTTCAGTGCAGTACATCTATGATTTATGCTCACCAGCTGCACCAGCTGCATCAGGATATAATAATATAGTCGGGCGCCCAACAGGCTACTATTAACAAAACAACGCATGCTACTCGGAGTGCAGAATGTTGCGTTGAATTTGCATCACATCGGTTTGGACGTCATTTCACTGCCGTTGGAGTGTGTGCTGCTTTTGTTTAAAGCCCTGTGAGGTTACTCATGCCTTCTCACAAAACGTTGCCTAACTAATCAGCTTTTCCCAACACACCGAATCCAATTCAGGATTGGCCGGCGCTCTCTGGTGAAGCAATCCATTAACGGAGTTTATGCCTAATCAGTCATAACACTCATTACCGTGGGAAGCAGAGACCAGGTGCGCTGCTGCGTCGTACCAACGTGGGAAAAGAACATTTCTGACTTAATTGGACCTGGACCTTTGGGGATGAAATTAGTATTTTAAATTTGTGACAATACTGGTTAGAACAAACGCCGTGAACGCCCCCGACACACACACACACACACACACACACACACTCACTCGTGTATACACACCTTAGCCGAGTGCTCCATTGTGACCACCACCTTGGTTCCAGCGCTCGCCACCAAATCCATTGCTCCTCCCATCCCCTTCACCATTTTACCCTAAGAGCAGAAGGAAACAGTGATTATGGCTTGTTTCATTTCTTCTAAAAGAACAACTTACACACTTGAATCATACGTAGCCAAAAAACAAGTTGATACGTGGCTCTCTGTCACCAAACCGAGGGTCTATTTTGATGCCATAATTTCATCCCTGCACTGGCGAGTCTCCCCCAAAAAAACTTAACAGACTGGGACGGAAGAGGAGAAAAGAGTTCAGAATGGATCTTCAGCAACCATAAAGCCAGGAATTTTTATACAAGCTTTGCACATCGAGAAACATTCATCAATGTAATGCTGTTCATGTTAAAAATGATTAAGCTTTTAGTCATCAAGCAATCTCCCTCTGTAAACAAGTAGTGGGCGGGGGGGCTTAAGGGCTCTGCTCGACGTAAAGCGGCTCTGTAATGTCTGAACACGCATCAGTGTGTTTGAATCGCTTAAGTCTACTTCTTCGACATTACGTTAAGTTGATGCTCAATAAAACGGCACGGAAAAACTGTGTGTGTGGGTGGTTCGATTAGCTGGTAGCCCAACACGCCGTCTAAAACAATACAATTGATCAAACTGTATCATCTCCACCGCGTCTCATAGCGGCGGCGGCCGGGTAAGAAGTGAACGACAAGTCAGCAGCCAATCAATGGAAATTTTAAACTGGCAATAAAAGGGGTTTTGAAAAAGTACACTGCAGCCACGAGAGGTCTTTGGCTGCAGTGATAAATGAGCATCCAAAATGTAGTTATGGACACGCCTATTACTTTAGAAATGTCCGATAAGACCAATATCTGAAACCCTGAACAAATTAAATTGTTATAGAATTATTAATTATAAATAATCGTTTTATGATGTGTCAAGTATTACAAAAAAAAAAGAAGAAGCAATCGAAAAGATAATCACTGCCACATATTTGCCAGCCAGGTGAAGACATTTCTTCTCCTCGTGCTCAGAACAGAGGGTTTCCGAATAAGGATGGCTGACATGCAGATATGGCCCCGGGATGACGGCTGAGTAACTGCATTAAAATCCCATTTGCCCATCAATCATGTGAAGAGCCTGCTTTGCTCTCCGCTCGATAACCGGCGATGTATATGCCAAGTGTGGTAGGGATGCAGTCTGCCTCCAGGGAGGCCAGCTGCGTGGAGAAGATATCAACAGAGAGCGGAAAGAGGGTCGGACCAAGTAGGGAAAATCATAGATTGAGGATATCGGAGAGAGGCTTTATTTTTTACGTTATATAACAGTATTATCTTATAGAACACAAAGTGGTCCACCATAGCACAGCACAATAAATACACCAACATGTGATTCAAATAGGGTACATCTTTACTTTTAGCCCTCAAAATGCACACATTTAACACACAGGGCTTGTTAAGATGACTCCAAAAGGAAACTTAACAGGAAATATATAATAGTGTGTCTTTTTTCATATGATCAATCCTTCACTTCCTGTCACAGGATTAGCTGATGGGTCCAGAGGGGGATAATAACATGATGGCAGCAGGTCTGGATTTACAGCTGCTAATGTACTCCGCACTGCAACTCAACTTTCATTCATGCAAACTGGGCATCTGCTTTTAAAATGACTAAATACTGGTCAGGGTTTGATTAAGAGTCAAGACTAAAATGAGCATTTGAAGGAAATTGCAAAAATGATCTGGTTTTGCAGCGGGGACAATCAAATTTCCGTAGCAGCAGAGGAATTGTTGTGAGCCATTCATTTTTTTTTATGAATGCAAAATGATGCAGCCACAATGCCCGTGTTGTGTCGCATCGCAGTGACAGCAGCCAAGCTGCAGGAACTACAATTCATTATGTGGTCAAATGTCTCTCTAATGTTTGTATAGAAAAGTGTTGTCCATAACCTGCATTACTGGGAGGATTTGCATTTGCTTGCATCAGATCAATGGCTCTGCATGTGGTTCCCGAAGGCCGCTCTGATCTGAATCGCTCCAGGCCGCAAAAATTCAAAATTCACGAAATGGCGCAATGAGATATGCCTACCATCTTTTTCCTCCTGCTCAAAGACGGTATTTTATTCAATGAAATTGGTAGCAAAGGAATTCACAAGTATGTGTTCTACAGTCTTTCTGTTAAAAAAGAAAAAAGCTGCTACATAGACACTGTCTTATACGGAGTATGCAAGGAGGCACTAAAACCAAACAAAAAAATTGACAGTGCAATATATCCCCCCCGTCTTGGATGATTTGGCAATTTCATTAGCGCGGCATTGATGGCATTAACCTTGCTGGTCTGACCGAAGCCCGACAGGTTTTTAATTTCCTCACCTCTCCATCTGACTGCTGATATCTCAGCATCGCGGCGGGGAAGTTTCCTGGGAAACATCGCCCTTCTAAACTGCGACTACAGGTCAAATGCTGAATTCAGGAGTGTAACAACACACAAAAGTCAGTGTGGGTTTGATACTGTAGCAAATAAAAGCACGATGAGTTTCTTTCATTGTATCTTGCACAGACTTAAGTGCAAGTGTCAGAGACAAAATCCTCTTCCTAGAGATTGAGCCTTTTGCTCAGTGGAAAATTTGGAAAACACTTCTGTATTACAGTGTGCAAACACAGGAAAGCATGTGACATCCCTTGCAGATTGGTTGTTTTATTGTCATAATGCTTTGGATTGTGGGAAATTTCCTCCGGCAGAGTCTGTAGAAAAGCATAAAGTGCGCATTAAAGGCTCCAAATATCTTTGAGATAGACCCCAAGCACTTGAATATTTGACAGTGTGACACCGCAAAGCCTTTGTGGGAACAAGCTTTAAAGTGAACTGTGCCCCCCTGACAGTGACGATTTGGCACAAATACACACTGTGTTCACCCCTGACCCCTAGAAATACAAGCATAGGGAAAAATGATTGCATGACATAGTGCAGAAGACTTAATGCTGTTCAAAATGTGCCATTTCATCTTTCAAAAAAACGTTCATGTTGCATTTCTTTATTTTGCAATTTCACACTAGCAGCAGTTATGGTAAAATCTCCTTTCAGGTCAATTTCAAAAACATCTACTTTTAAACTCTTTGAAAATAATCTTTGCCAAAGGCAAATATAAACTATCGTAGACATATGCTTATTAAAATGGGCGTTGGAGAACTTTAAAGTGTAACATAATGTGGGTCACTGCAAGAGGTGCAGAATCCAGATGAGGCACTTTAAAAAACACATACATATGATTTATAAAGAGTACAAAGAGGTACTTAATGAGCATATACACAAGGCAGAACTTGTAAAAACACAGTACTCAAGTTACAGCTCTCCTAAGGTGACAGCAATTATACCATGTGAGAACATTGACAGATTCAGTCCCACTCCGCCTACAAGGTTCTCTCAGTGAGCCATTAATGGCATACAAGCAAAGCCATTAATACACAAAAGGCCTTTACAGCATTTTAAAGAGGGAAGATGTGATGGCAATGAAATGCTCCCTCACTGCGATTATTCACATATTCAACATCTGCAATGTGTGAGAACAGGTGTAGCAATTCGGACGATAGTTCCAAAGCAACCTCTGCACACAAGTACAAACAAGTACTACGGCCACTTCATTGAAAAATGAAGTGTCCTTTTCCTCCATTATCAGTCAAAAGCGTTGACTCATGAGCAAATAGTTTTTATTGGATTAGTGTTCTTTAGTACTTTAACCAGCACTGTATTTGACGTAGTAGGCTTAGGGGTTTCCCTGCATATCATTAGTTACCATGACAACAGAGTATGATTTGCTCATTTGTGTTCACTTCTCAGTCAATGACAGAAACAATCCAAAAGTTCCCACTTACCAACTGGCTTCATTTCTCTCCCCCACAAATTCCCTGACAATCTCCGCTGTCGGATACGAAAGGCTCTCTACCTAATAACATAGCGACGGACCGTCACCGGCCTTAGTTACTCACACGACTAATTACAAGATTCAAGAGGGAGAGCCGGGAGAGACAAGGAGACAATGGACAACACGCACAAAGTACTTAGAATACGTAACATTTTTACAGTGAAGACCTTCAAATATCCTCCTATTCTCTAGAGACACTTTTCATTGTTGATCCAGATGCTTCAGACTGCAGAGATGTGAAAGCATATTAAAGCCCTCAACCGGACAATTCCCCTTTAGCATATTTAAAGTATTAAAAATCAACATAATCAAGCTAAGAGTACTGCATCCAGGTAAAACCTTTCCAATACGTACCCGTCCTAGGCAGTGAGTCAATTTGATTATCTTAAAAGGTGGGAAATTCACATTAGTCCCTTTTAAAAAACGTGGTATAATAAAGATAATACGGAGGTGAGGACAGAGTGGTATTTCTGTGTTGCAAGATAACCCCCCTGCTTCTGAGTAACAGCTACACTGCAGGGCTTCAATATTTGCACATGTGTATTCAAACACCGGTTAATTAGCAATTACCATGGACAAACAAGCACGGCCGGGGAGGTAAAGAGAGAATGAATTAACCCTGCAAAATTTAGAGACCACCAGCGACCGAAGCCTTCCTGTGCTCGGCGCTCGCGCCCTACGACGTCCACCTGTGTGTTTTATATACGAGGTTCCTACACGTGACACGGTTGTCTCACTTGGAGGAGCCGTTTGTGTAAAGTGATGTGCAGGCTGAACGTCTGGCGAGCACACTTCGTTCAAACAGGAAGCAGCTGTGTGCTGGGCATTTCTGGTCGACTCCTCTCTCTAATGGGTTTGTGACTGGCTAATCACCCAGAACGCCCGTGACCGACTGTGGCGTTCGGAGCAATTGAGCGCGTGAAACGGTCTAATCGATAAATGTCTGCCAGCCTTTCCACTGTAACCCCCCCCCCCCCCCCCCCAAGCGTCCGCCTGTGCTCTTGAATAACAATGACCAAGGCGCTGCACCAACAAAGACACCTCCTATCATGCCGAATACTAAAGGCCACCATCTGTAAAATAAACAAGAGCTAACAATGATCTGTCTGAAGATGAATAACACACCACTGAACTAAATATCTTTGGGATTTGAACTGACAGTCGAACTAAATAAGCAATTTGTCGCGTGCGGCTCTCGGCAGTTCTGGTTTAACCAATTTGTAGGTTACGTACAAATCCCAGATCAATCAATATATATCACAACTGTTCAGTTTTCCATTTTTTTTCCATTGATTCTAAAGCCTCAAGTCAAGTGCATTTTTCGATTGGCAATAGAAACATATCCAAATTAATTAAAAAAAAACGGCTATTATATATTTCGTAAGGCTGCTATTGCACTGATGTTGGCTTGTTGACCTCCAGCAGATGGAGCAGAAAGACAAAGAGTTTGCAAAACGATGGATAAGAAGACCAACTTACGGGGATCATCCAGTTGGCCAGGTCTCCGTGTTTGGACACCTGCATGGCTCCCAGCATGGTCAGGTTGATGTGGCCGCTGCAGAGAATGACACAAAAGACGACGACAGCTGTCAACTTCAGAATCAGTCATCAAGTCCATTCATCAGACAATGCATGCTGTATTGTTAGTGTTAGTATTGTCCCAGTTTACCTGTGACAACACACAATGCAAAACAGTGCATTTGAATATTGACGGTAGTAGATTCTCACGGCAAACAAATCACAATAACAGCCGCCTTCCTCCCGAATTTGTCATGAATAAAACACTTTGCACAGGGCCACACACGGCCGGTGAAAAGTGAAGACGAACGCAGAGATGCTAAAAAGTGAACACGGTTTGTCATTAAGAAGCACAAGTCATCTTCAGAGTAGGAGAAGAGGCTGGATTGGGATTTGAGGCCCCCACAGCTCAATCCATCATATGTTGTGTTATTCTCCCCCAGTGACTCTGGTCTCTTCAATGTGTTGGCACAACGGGGTGTGCGCACTCGGTTCTGTCCTCTCCCTGGCGGTGTGACCAGACAGCGCTATTTATGAGCACTATTGGATTTCCACCGGGTGCTGGACAAACAGAACCGATGCCGCCGGGTGTGTGTGTGTGTGTGTGGGTGAGCAATTTCAGACAGCTGGCAAATCAATAAAAAGGGGAACATTGGGAATATTGGCAAAGCCGCTGTCTAGCTCTGCCGGTGACGTAGCGATTTGTTACAATCCAGCGTTCGCAAATCGTGGCCGTCTCCTCTGCTCAAATCCAATCGTCGGAGCTGGCTACAGTGCGGGCGTAAAACTAGCGAATGAAGAAAAGATTTGTGAGAAAATGATGTGTGTTTTGGGCATAAACTGCATCACGAGTTTATAAAGGAGAACCCCAGTTTGATGACATATCTGATATGCCTGGAAAAACTTTTCCCAAAACTTCTGGTCTTACCCTCGGATCATGGAAAATGATTCATCACTTGAGAAATAGGCAGCACCTGGAAGCACCGTGACAGTCTCCTTTCCTGCGGACACATGATATTTTCAAGTCTTTGAGATACAGCAATAGCAATGTGCCTTGATGAAATATATTTTCAGGCAATTGGTGATTTTATGCATTATAAGTTATAAGTTCATAATTTACTCTCTAAAAATTGGCTTCAAAAAACTGTATTTACTCAAGTGTCATAAATAAATAACATTTAAAACACATTGTGACAATAATATAATGATCTTCACCCGATACGAATTCTCACTGAATAGAGTCAATGGAACCTCGGTTAATGTTAGCTTTCATAGGCAGGACTGATGCTGTCGGACGAAATAGCTGCGATTGGAATAAGTGCCTGAACATTTTATTGTTCCAAATAGTTTAAGGATGTTCTTCCTTAATTTTGGACTTGCAGAAGTGACAAATCACAAGATTCACGTCTTCTTCAATTACCCTGAACAACTAAACAGCAGCCCATATGATTTTTTTTTGGCATAACTGAATATTGGCATTAATTTATCATGGCAAAGTTTACAAAATAAATGTATTTGAATCACCTTCTTGTAAGTCCTTTATAATTAAACTTCTGTGTTACTTTCAAAGAAAATGTGCACCTGTAGTAGTATTGATTTTCATAGAAAATATCTTGTAGGAAATCAGAAAACATAACGGGATACCAGATGCCAACCAAAAAGGGTCCCTTAATAAATCCATGTTTTAGTTGGAATTACGTATCGATCCGGACAACACTCTCACCGGCGTTTATCAGGTCTGCGTCCACTGCATCCTCGGTGGGGTACGGCCCCTACGCAGAGAGAAAAGCAGATGAACCCGGCTGTGCTCAGGCGAGGCAACCGCATGTCATTCAGCCAAGACGACTCAAAGAGAAGAAAACACAATTCAGCGATTTCGATGACACATTGATCTACGCAACGCTCCAACCGTTTGGGTGGAAAGGGGAAGGGAGAGGTGGTATCTCTTTCAAACCGACACTCATGATCAAAAGAAACCTTGGAGAATAAGGCATTAGCATAGGCGCTTACATCCTTCTGCCAGAACCACTGAAACGAAAGTCATTCCATGGCAGCAGCCTTTGTGGAGGGCTTTGTCAGCAAATAGTGATCGCGAGCCAGAGAAACGGAAGAAAAAGTCAATCTGTTGTACAATAAAACCATTTATACGTTTTAAATGTTACCGCCGGGCTCAGAGCACAATTTAGCTTGAAACTGTTGCGAAGACGTCCAGACGCAAGACGGATACTGAGCCGTCCGTCGGCTCCGTTTAGTTCAGAAGCACTGAAGCTGCAGTGGACAAGAAAGCTCTCTGCAGGCGTCTTACCAGTCCCAAAATCCCATTTTCACTTTGGAGGTTCACAGTGATGTCTGGTTTTATGAAGTTGCTGGCCAGCATGGGGATTCCAATACCAAGGTTGGCTGATAGGCTCTTTGTTAAAGATGGTAATTATCACATCAGTCGTCATGGAATGTGAAGCAGGTAATTAGAGAAACATATTCCATTTGACGAGAGACCTTCTTTAACAGAAACAATCATCTTACAGCACGCCGCGGACACGACTATGAAGTCACAACATTTTCCAAGATGACAAATGCATTGGGCTGAACTATGGGAGAATAGAAATACAAAAAAATAAACTGCTGACAAACCAGAGTATAATTTGAAATTTCAATCAACTGGTGGAAAGACAACTATTTTTCATGTGTGTTGAAAAGACAGCAGGGCAGGACGCCGCTTTCTTTCTCTCTGTACACCTGGTTTGCCTTTACAGCTGTTGTGTTTTAAGGAGGAACCTAAGGCACAAAGTGACGAGGTTTTGTGAGTTATTTTTAAAGGATACCGTACATCCCATCCTCAAACTCCAGAGCAGCCCGGCGGATGATCCTTTCCCGAACAATGTCGGCGTCCTTCTTTGGTTTGGGCTTCTCTTCTTGGCTTCTCTTTACTGTGCGTTTCTGGAAGCAAACAGGGATGTATGAGGATCAGGGAGGCAGCATGCTGGGAGGATATTTCTGGCGGAGCATAGAGACATGTGAGGAGAGAGAGAACGAGCATTTCTCAACAATGATGGAAACCTAAAATCCTGCTACAGTGGCTTAGCCAGAAAGCTGCATTTGGCTGTAGAAGGATTAATCGTTCTTTTCAATAATTGAACCATTTGTTGAATGGAACTTTATTTTCTATAAAGTGACTCAGGTAATTCTCAAACCACAGAGAGAGAATTGAAATGCGTGGATCTGTATGGAGACGACCGGTTTGGTACCTCGATCCTTTTTTCGTAGCTGGCTCCCTGGACGACCCTCTGGACGTAGATGCTGGGTATGTGGATGTCCTCTTCAGCGAAGGTCCCAACATCCACCACCTCCTCCACCTACACAGAGACACGGTCAAATGTCTCACGACCATTGAGATTAAATTCCACACACTGGCGGAACTGCACTACCAGAAAATAACTGGTCTGCCCACCTGTGAAATGTAACAGATTACAGACTTGAGAGTTTCGCTCATGCTGATTTTGCAGCTTTATCTTAAGAAATTATCTTAATATTGAGGTTGGGTATTTAATAAAAGACATTCTTTTTTTTCCCCCCACTGTTTTTATGTAGTTTTAATGTTAAACCAGAAATTGAGCAATAAACCATCCTAAAAGGTGACACAAACAGGCTGATATTTCTCACGTGTTCTTCCACTATCACGTGTTAATGGTGAGTCAAGGTGAATAATGCAGGGAGAATGTCTTACATTTATTACTTTAGCAACACCAGTCCACTGAAGGCAGACTGTGTGACTAAAATGGGGATCCCCAGACACACAGACAGGGGACATAGATTTATCCTCGGAATCAAAGGAGATGGCGAAGCCGGGGTTCATGGGCAGGTTGTTTTGGTTTTGGGAGGATTTTGGCTGAACCATTTATTCTTTGTATCTCAGTGGAGCGGCTGCAAACGTGGCCATTTAAATGGTCTGAATAGACATTCTTTACACAAATTATTTTTCATATGGCAGCATTGTGTGTGTTAGATTTCCACTAAACAATATTTTCCTGCTCTGAGACAGAAGTGCATCACCTTTGTGTAGAAAGTGTCCAGCAGCAGACGAGGAGTGTACATGAAAGGGTTAGTTGGACAGAAATAACAAGACGAATGGAAATGGCTATTGATTTAAGCTGAGTCGGGTCAACATGCCTGGGATAAAAATCCCAGAACAAATGCACCTGCGCCCTCCTCCTTAGGTAACATTTGGAACCGATATATACCGAGCATACAGCCTCAACTCACTCACTCAGGTGTTCTGGGACAGCGTGTGTGGGCTCCACTTAATCTCGCTGCCCAGTTTATCCTGCTGGAGCGCCTAAAAACTCATGTCATGCTTCCAAGTGCACATTGCACTATAGTCCTGCAGATGTTAAAGTCAACATAAGAATCTGATTGGATTTAGAGGGTGGAGGAATATGTTTTATCAAATAGAAAAGACTCCATGAGGGAAAAGGTGCAATTTTATTTAGTCATCAAAGGAGGAAAGAGCACTTTGAATCACAGAAAATTAAATCGAAAAAAAAAAAGAGTTATCTTCCCATCTATGAGGGACCAAAGGGGGACTTAATCGTGACAACATAATTCCCCTTTTCGCGCTCGTGTGCTGCTCAGAGTGCAACCTACTTATTCCATTTACATGAGCGGCGAGCGGCCGTTCACAGCAAATTGAATTGAATCTCTCCTTATCTCCACTTCCTCCCTCAGCACTGACTGAGAGGAGTCAATGGCTAACAGTGGCTCCCATCTTAGCGTTGTCATGGCTACGCGGGCTTTGCCGTGCGGTGAGCTAGGGCCACTCAGGGCTGTGGAGTGATTTTTAAGACTCTTTCTGTGGCAAATCTCTGATGCTCCACAGTGGAAACGAGGCCATGCAAGATGAGATTGGGGGCGCGCAAGAGAATTGACACGGCAGTCCCACACATCCGCCCACATCCTGCTCTGGGGGCTTGATCTGTCTTTTGTGAGAATGATGATTTCCATTCATCAAGCGCGACTGAGCTCATCCCACTATAAAGCAGTTACAGGGAGAAAACAGGCAAGACTGGGGTGCAAATATTTGATGGCACTGATTTCGACACTCCAGGTGAATTTACTTGATCAACAGTGTAAATAAACCCTTGTGTCCTCGAATCAAAAAGTGGCAAATAGTCACCTCAAAAATCCACGGCAACAGAAAGAAGAAATTGGACGTTTTTTTGTCAAACCCAAAAAAACAAAACATGCACCGAGCTCTATTTTCAATCAGCCTTCCTAAGGTAAGTCGCAGCACAACAACAAGCTCATACAATTTAAATGTGCCGTGTTCAGAAAAAAGCCCACTGCTCCTTTCATCCAGGGGACGCGTGCCGCCTGCACCGGCGCTCAGATGCAGTTCAGACAGGAGGTTCAATGGACGGGGACGAATAAAGCATTATAATGACATTTAAAAAAAAAAAACTGCGAGAACACCACACAATTACACCCCACCCCGCCTCCAGCGACCAGGTGTGTGGAGCAAGCAGACGGGCACACGCACATTGATATTCCTGTAACTGTAGAATGATTTTCACATCAATGACAGCACAGCCAGGCAATGCAGTGAGCTGGCAGAAGCATAGAGGGAATCAAAGTGCCCTCTGGGGACACGACAAGCCTTTTTTCTCTCTCCAGGGTTTGTGGCTTTTTAAAACAGTGAGCTTTGTCTAATCTTGTTCATCTCAAACGGTTTGGATCACAATGCTCGCAGATTCCTAGAATAACCCGCCAACAGCGGTGTCGCATGCAGCGTTTCGTCTGCGGTTATTAAACAATGGTGGAAATGTGCCACGCCTATAGCCAACATAATTAAAACAAAAAAGGCGCTACATTTAGGGTTGACTGCGTTTTCAATTACATGGATCTAAAACCAGGCTCATCAGTGAGCACACAAAACACAAGCATGCAGACAGACAGCAATTCAGATGCAGCCAGACAACCCTTCAGAACCAATCACACTCATTTCTCTGAGGAAACACATTCATTTGGTACACATCTGGCATACACCAAAGAATTGATCAGATCATAAAAAACGCCTCTAAAAAGTATTCACTCCCTTTGGAAGTTGCACTCTTTTGTTGTTTGTATACACAACATTGTGGTCAATATAGTCAGCTTTTCTTTTTTTTTAGAAGAATTTGCAAAAAGAAAATATCAAAGTGGAAACAGATTTTTATACAATCATATTATAATTGTAATAAATATAATATAATAATATAATATTTAATATAAGAATTTAAAATAAATAGAGTAAAATAAATATTATTCACACCTTTCAGGTCGGTTTTTAGTAAATGCACCTTTGGCTGCAATCAGAGCCGTGAGTACCTACATTACGACACTGCAATCTCTCTCCATTCTCCCTTGAAAGACGGCCCAAGCTGTGTCGGATTGGCTCATCAGATCAAAGAACCGTCTTCCAATTGACCTTAAAGTCTCCCACACGCCTTTGGGCCAATTGAAGGCCAGACTTCATACAAGCTTTTTTTCTACAGTGGCTTTCTCTTTTTTCTCTCTCCCATCCAGCTTTGACTGGTGAAGAACCTGAGCCAACAGTGATTGTACAGTATGAACAGTCTCTCGCCCAATTGAACCACCGAAGCTTCCGACTCCTTCACGGTGGTCCAAGTTGTCTTAGCAGCCGTCTTCTTCTTCTTCTTGCCCTGTCGCTCAGTTTGTGAGGACGGCCATAGGCGACTCAGAGTTGCTCAGTGTGTTCTTTTGTCTTACTGCGGGGGGACGGTCGCCATCCAATTAGAGGAGCGGCGGTTCGATCCCAGGTCCTGCTTACCCGCGTGTCCATGGGCAAGACACTTAACCTCAACACTGCTCCTGTAGCTGTGACCACTGTGTGAAGGGTGTGAATGGTAGTTACTGATGGGCAGGTGGCACTGTGTGTGGTAGCTGCGGTCATCAGCGTGTGAATGGGTGTGAAGGGGTAAACTGTGACATGAAGTGTTAAAACGCTTTGAGTGGTGGAAAGACTAGAAAAGTGCTGTACAAGTCCATTTATCATTTACTGGTGAACCAGACTGGACCTCCCAGACACGGGTGTTTTTGAACTATAATCCCTCGACACACACATGAACTGCCCTCCGGTGAATTCTGTTTCACTATTCGTGACACTGCTGGCATCGCTGGACCTCGGTTAAATTAGGTCTGTCAGATCGCGCTGCAGCACTACCACTTTTGTCCACGGGAGCCGCCAAAATCAACAGAATAAAAGTTCTTTGAAGTAGAGTATCGAATAGGCAATTTCAAGCCTCAATCTTCACCCTTAAATCAGTTTTGTATAACACCTGGATACACTGAGATATTACAGACTGCACATCCTCAATGGCCGACACTATAATTACAAAGCCAGCTGACTTAATAACGCAGCATGTTTGTGTTGGGTGTGCGTACCGGTGTGTGAGTGTGAGTCTGGAGAAGGAGACGGTATGGGCAACAGAGCAGGAGGATGACAGCGACACCGCACTCATTACCCTGTGTATTTATAGCCTTTCCATCTTCCTCCCAGTGTGCGTATGTGTGTTTGTCTATGCGGCCACTTGGCCATGCTCTGCTGCCACTTTTTTTTTTGGGGGGGGGGGGGGGGGGGCGCTCATCTCCGGCTCGATCCTCTAACCCAGAATACTGACAACATGAGCAATCTGTTTCCTCACAGTGGGAACTCGCCTCGCCTTTGACAGGCTTCATTGTATCCAGAAAATGGGTCAGAGCCAACCAATGCAAACTCTGACGACATTATACAAACTAAAAATACTCGTTTTTTCCAGCGACGCATGCTGCCCACCAAAGGACATTGCGTCATATGGATTTCAAACTCCAGTCGCAGCTCAAATGGTAATGTTTACATTTCAAAGAACACATAAGCCTCCGTGCAGCAAGCTTCACATGCGGATGATAGGCAGCCAGTCATCAGGGAACATTAAGCTAACAGTGTGCGTAACGTGCAAATCTACCATTTCAGACATCCAGTTTGTAAACTCTCCTCCTTTCTGATCGAATAACTCCCACAGACACCTACAGCGAAGCAGAATAATAAACTAGCCACACAGTTTGTCACTGGCTTTAGAACCAGTCATGATAAGTAAATGTCACGTTGGAACAGACTTACTTACACACAGGGTGTGTTTTTACCAAATTGCTCACTGTGCCCTTTATGTGGCAATGCAGAAGGGCAAATGGTGCCATCGAGATCCCTAAAAAAAAAAAAAAAAGGTACACTTAAATATTTATGAGCGTTTCTGTTGAGACTGTACCATCGAATGCATGAATTAAAGCAGGAGAGGCCTGAGCAGAGCCATTCGGTCGCCTA